AATAGAGGAGCTTCCTGCGATGGCAGGAAATAGCTGTCATTACTGCAGGCTTCTCTTTCTGCCTCCTCACAATTTTCTTCTTTCGTTCTCTCTCTTTCCAACCAGCCGTAATTCATCAACGGCCCAATAAGGTGGTCCACAGGTCATATCCAAATAAATGCTCTCACCTCACAGCTCTCCGCTCCATTTGATCTATAAGACCAGCAGACACAACTAATACATAATGTAAGTGAGAGGGGAAAAGTGCTGTTTTTAAACTGTTAGACATGCATCAAATGGACATCTTTGGTCGTTGCATCCTATATTGCTCTTATTTTAAGCATTTCACCTGCATGATTGTCACATTTGAAAGTAAATCTGAACTTGCACCTGCACCCTAGAGAGGTATTAATATCAAGTACCAAAACGCTTTTAGATTAAGCAAAGATGGATAGCAAAACTATACCACAAGAAACCTACATGAAAACTTGAAGACTACATGAAGACTTTTTTAAAGAAATTAATACTTTTATTCAGCGAGGATTAATTAAATTGATGAAAAGTTACAGTAATGGTATTTATAATGTTACAAAAGGTTTCTATTTCAAATAATTGCTATTTTCATTGCTGAAATTCAATTGCTGTTCACATTGATAATAATAAGAAATGTTTCTTGAGTCTCATATTAGAATGATTTCTGAAGGATCATGTGATACTGAAGACTGGAGTAATAATGACGCTGAAAATTCAGATTTGATCACAGGAATAAATTAAATTTTAAAATAGAAAATAGTTCTTTCAAATTGTAATAATATTTCAAAATGTTATTGTTTTTACTGTTTTTTATAATCACATACTGTGAATTCATTTTTGGTGAGCATAAGAGATTTGTATGAAACAATAAAAATACTTACTGAGAGTAAACTTTTGAACTGCAATATATATCATAATAATGCATATTCCTGAATCCCTGATTGTCATGAATATCACAAGATGATTCATCAAGACAAAAATGTATTCACTCTGTGACTATAAGGAGAAAGAAAGTAATAATCATCAAAAGAGTTGCAAGCACTGCCAGATGTTTGCTTCATCTATAAGAACCCTCACATTATTGCCTACAGGTGAAAAGCCAAGCTGTCAGAAATCGATTTATTAACAGAAGCAGGTTAAAACATGAAGGTACATTTACTTTAAAATATAAGCACTGATTAACCCTGTACTTGATGAATGTGTAGCAGAAAATGTAGACGTTTAGATGCTGTTTAAAGGCCATTGCACACCGAGTCCGAAATTTTCGTACGCGTTTTTTTTGTATTCCTGATTCAGTGGCTCTGAATTGTCAAAACTCCATTCAAACTGCTTGCCACGGATGCGAAAAACACAGAAAATCGAACCTGATTTGATTTTTTTTATGACGGACGAAAGTTTTGGAGGCAGTGTGCAAGCGTGATTGACATAACGTGAGGTGGTATTTATTTTTTAACGTGCGAAAATTTCATACGCATATTTTGGACTAAGTGTGCACTGCGATTCAACAGTCAAACTACCTTTGGAGGTGTTTAGTGACACAAATGGCCACATCACATTTGTATTGTAAACAGTAACGCATTCTGATGCTTCCAGGTCACCAAAGGATCAGTGGTCCAAAACAATAGGTTTAAAAAAAAAAAGTGCAGCAGCGGTTTTGCTGCAATGACCTTCAATGACGAAAGCTCCAGTATATAAAACCTTAGATTGAAACCTATCAAATCTATAGCAAGTCCTTGTATTTTAAAGAGAATTGTGGGTTTAAGTCACATTAAGCTAGCCAAAGACAAATGTGGAAAGGACAAAAAGGCGTTTAGCAAGTAGAGGGGAAAGACACTTCAGAGGAAGCGGAGACACAGTGGAGACACAAGCGCACCATCATCCCATGCTGACGACCAGCATCTGAAAGAAAACACATGCTGGTCTTTTCTGCAGGTTTACGACAGACACAGGCTCATAAACTGCATTGAGAGGCTGCTAATAAGGACCTGAAGCATGCACAGCAAGAACCCCAGGCAGAGCACTTTCATTTCTGATCAAGTCACAATTCACATGGTAGCACTGCACAGAGAAAAATGCCAAGGTAAAATACTGATGCATTATACTGGGCTAACTGGACAGCTTTCCACAATCAATGTGGACTTAGGTTATTACATGGGCTTTACACTTTAAATGAATAATATATAAAAACTGCCATTGTAAATTATAGTTTTATAAAAGACAAAAAATATTCAGTCCAAATTTATATCTGCAATACTAATCCAAGTCATTCTCATGACAAAAAGATTGATAAACAAGTTCTCTGAAACTGCCTTGAGAGTGTAAAAATAGTGGAGGCTGTTGAAGAGGATGTCCTTGATAGAAAACAGGAAGCCTCGAGTATATCAGTCTTGCCTAAGACAAGATTTAGAGCCCTCTTAGTGTGTGACCTGTCAAATTTCCATAATTTGTATGGTTTTTTTTGTGACAATGTGACTTAAATGTTATTTTTATCAAGCAACTGACTATTGTGCATTTCTGATCCATCTGAATAAGTGTCTCTCCTTTTATTTTTCTTGTAAATCCAAATGAAAGCCACATTGCTGGAAAAGATACTAATAGATATTGCACAGCTCAATTTAATACACTGACAGCTGGCAAAGCCCCATTTGGCAACTACCATATCACTACCACAGTCTAAACAAAGGTTTAAAAAAATGGAAATGCTAACCAATTGACTAAATAATTTGTTTTCCACCACGTATCAGTATTACAAAATAAAGCATGCTCTAGCACACTCTTAACTCGTCCCGTGTGTGGAAACGTTTCTCACATCCTGGACTTGGAAAAGACTAGTGCCAGTCATATGAAAAAGGTATGCAAACAAAACAAAAAAGATGGAAAAAGTAAAAACATCCAGACACCAACATTTTCCAACTCAGTGGTTCCAAAAATGTCACACTTAAAATTAAGGAAGTCCACGCTAAGCAAAATAAAGACTACCACTCAAAATGTACTGTAGACTGTACCATTCATATGTTGCTGTAATTTTTTAATTGTTTATTCAGCATGGATGCATTAAATTGACCAAAAGTGATAGTAAAGACAGTAAAAAATGTATGTTTCCACAAAAATATTAATCAGTACAACCGTTTTCAACATTAAAAATAATAATATTTAATGTTTTTTGAGCAGCAAATCATCATATTAGAATGATTTCTGAGGGATCATGTGACACTGAAGACTGGAGTAATGATGCTGAAAATTCAGCTTTTCATCAGGTATAATTAGCATTTTAAAAATGTAATTTTTAAATTTAATTTAATACAAACAATTATGAAAAATTGTAACATTATTTCACAATATTACTGTTTTATTACAATTTTTTAAAAATCAAATTAATGCAAAGACTTCTTAAAAATAGCAACCGACCCCAAACTTTTGAATGATATTGCATCACAAAAATGCATTCGTTAGCTTTGTTATGATAAAGCAATGGACATACTCTTCAAAATAAAGACAAAAATCATTGTGTCACACTTTGTGGTTGTGAAAGTTAGTGGAACATGTTGTTGGTTAAAGTGAAGAACTACACCTGTGGTTCCTCTGCTATAAGACACCTGTGTGAACTTGAGGTGAACTGACCTCATACATCATCCACCAAAAATCACCAAATCGACTCGTCGGGTTATGTTTAATGCAATGACATTCATACATTTGTGGGCTTTAGTGTTCAAATACTTTTCAGGGCAACTGCATGTTCTTGAAATCCAAAAATGATTGGTTCTGCTGAGTGTTTTGAGAAAGGAGCGCTCCAGAAAATGGTGACATCACACAAGTAACCTGAGCTTGTGTGTTTCAAAGATCAGCTCACCGCTTGTCCCCTTGGGTGAAAATTACCCTCAACTCTGACCCTGCACATGTTGGTAGAAACAACACTCCCCCCATGTGTGGACGGCCATGTCCGGGGTTGCATTACCTCATCTGAAGTCTTTCTGCACAAATCCAGAACCATTCACTTATGTTTTTGCCTCTAAGATCTTGATCACAGACCTATAAACCCATAAGTGCACCAACTTAAAAACACACACCAGATTTTGCATGCAACACTTTCTGCTTCAATACATGCACGTGTCTGTCAAAAAGCTCTACATTGGAACGTGTTCCCTTTAAAAAGTGGAAGTCCCCTAAACTCAGCAAACTCACCAGGTTGGCAGGTGAGGGGTCTGCGGGGGTGAGTATACAGTTACTAAGTGGTTTAAGTCTCTGAGGATGAAAATAAGTAAAATAAAGCCTGCAGTGATCTAGACCCAGACAGAAGACTGATGCTGTACCCCTTCACCCCAGCCATAACCCCAGGCCCCCATAACAGAACTCAACCACAGAAAACATTCCCTTTTATTCACTGCACAAGAGTGATTATTGGGAACAGAAGTCTTTTAACTAGCACGCTTACTCTAACCAACAACATATTAGTCTTTGTTCAAATATTAGTCTAGAGAACAAATTGTTTTACTAAATAAAGTCCATAAACACAGTGATGCATGTAAAACATTGTAATAATAAAACAGATCACTCTAACTCTAAATTATTATTATTATTACTACTAACTTTATTAAAAATAATTTTAATTTTAATTCATATTTAATGTTTTTATGTTATTATATTATATTATAATACATAATATTTTATCAGCTATTTAATAATAATATAATAATAAAGCACATAATGTTATTTTCTTATATTGCTGTTTTATAAAATCAATAAGCTATGAAACCATTACAGTGATTTTACTTTAGTTAATATAGGTTTTAGCTAATACACAACCATGGTAAAATTAAATACATTATGTTGGAGATGGAGGGCCAATACAGACCTATACTGTAGAATAATTATGATATTATGAAGAGCTACTTCTACCTCTCTGTGCTTGGTAATTAATGGGCAAAAAGTAAAACACTCTCAATTGGACAACAGTTAGATGGTGATAAGTGAGTAGCTTGGTCACTTACTGTAATTTTCGGGGCCGGACAAGGCTGTGAGAAGACAAAGTATTGGGTGCCCAAGTTTAAATATGCGTTGCGGTAGGACGTGATTTTCCGGTGACCCTGGACAAGCTTATAGAGCTCCAAACACATCAGTCCGGCGATCGCAGCTGTTGTAGTGGCGATTGCTGGAATGATGCGGCCAGCAATTAACTTGCTCTGCAGATGAGAAAAAGGTTTGGGATATTATTTACGTTTGTACACATGGTACATGCTTCGTGAATTACAAATACATGTTCACACGGGTGCAAAAATGTCATGCAAACTATTAATGGTAAGTAGTACAAGTAAATTGGATGAAATCTATGGTTGAATGAAAAGGTCTTTCCTCAGGGTGTTCCTGTATATGTACTGAAACTGAGGACACAAACGCCCAGAGGGGAATGTTGATCACTTTAGACCTTGTCTCACAAACAAAAGCACCGCAGAGTTGTTTGACAAAGACAAAAAAAATCACCTTGTGGCGGTCGGCTGTTGGTATATCATAGTTCTCTGCCCTCAGGTTGGATGTTGCAACTATATAATCCATGTGGAAATTACTATCATCATCCTGGAACACAAGAATAAAAAAGAGCATATGGTAATGCACAAACAATTTCATTATTACAAGAACACATAAAGGCCATTCTTGCATTCGATCTTGTTTTTTGTTTTTTTTATTTATACATGAATCATATGCATATTAGGAGACTGCTTATTGTTTTTCCTCATTTTTACATTTAGAGATGGTTATGCTTAAAACTAGATTTGCAAATGGGTAAAGAAAAACGAAACTCTAAAAGATGTTCTTTAATAAATATTCTCTTAAAACAAGTCTTAATATCATCTGCAATTTTGCTTTAGGTACATTTACTTAATATTTCTTATATTCATATGTAATACTATTTTAAGGATGTTTAGACATTTTTAGTGAAAAAAAAATACAAAAATATTCATTAAAAATATATATTTTCAGTGCAGTATGGGCATTTATAGAAGAGCATCATTTACTGTTGATTTTAATTTCCTTTAAACAATGGAAAACACTGTTCGATTTGTCCATCAGCAAATCTACACCTACTTACCATCTGTTCATTTGTTACAATAGGCCAAACACAAAGAGGAAAAGACCTGTTGTGTTTTAAATGTGATGCTCAATGTTATCTTTTAGTCTTCTATTACAAACAAGAAGAATTTAAAAACAGGAACAAAATTGTTTGGCCCACAGGTATTTTATGCACTTTGGTACAACAGGTACTAGATAAAGATCATATCACGTCATATTTAAACATTGATAGTTTCCAGTCTCCTATTGTATTCGTTTGTAATTTCCCCTCTTTTTGTTCAGGACCATAATTGCTCCAGATTCAACTGGAGTGAACTGCAAATCTTGTACTTATAAAAAAAAATGTTTTTCTCCATATAATGCACTTTATGACGCACTAAGAATCTTTTTCCGAGTCAATTTGTTCATTTAATTCATTGAATGAACCAAATGACACGAAAAAAGATTTGTTCATTTCGATGAACGAGTTCGAACAGGAGAGTCACGGACGCGCATCACAGAACAGAGCAAGGTGGGCGTTTGAGCTTATAAACTTAAACTTTGTTTTTTTTTTAAATTAAATGAGAGATCGTTTCGCTTGATTAGACCCTTATTCATCGTCTGGAATTGTTTAAAGCCCTTTGAACAGTTTGCAGTTTGCACTGAAACTCTCTTTTGGACCTTGAACCGTTTGGTTCCCATTGAAGTCCATTATATAGAGAAAAATCCTGGAATGTTTTCATCAAAAACCTTAATTTCTTTTCGACTGAAGAAAGAATGACATGGACATCTTGGATGACATGGGGGTGAGTAAATTATCAGCAAAAGTTTTTTTTAAAAGTGAACTACTCCTTTAAGCACAATTCACAACTCAAGAACGTTGGTGTGATATTAGATATTGCAGGAATGCTAAGAAACCCTGGTGTTGAGGTTTTGCCACTCTGCTTACGCCCCAGGCACCGCAGCACTACAAAGCCTGTCAAGTATTGGGTGTGTTGAGGGTAACTGCGGGGGTGTCTGAGCATAGTGTATAATTTGGCAACCTGATGCCACCAGAATCCCCCAAACACACATTCCACTGGAAAAATCTGGCAAAGAATGCGTCATTGCTAATAGTGCGAGCACACACTTGCACATGTATATGGACATACGATACAAACAGTGGGGCCCAAAGGTCTAAGAACACTAGAGACATTTTAATCCAATTTTTGTAACAGGAAACATAACAAATAAAATATAATTCAATAAACAAAAACTATAACAGCATATCCATGACATGAAAACACTGTCTTGAGCTTTAGTGTAAGCAAAAAAACCAAACAAACCCTGACCACCCAATGCTATCTCACGACCAATTTGTACGAATTCGTACGAATGATTAAAAAGTGGCTAATTCGTACTAATTCATACGACCTCACTTGTATGAATTCGTACGATTTGTCTAAACCCACGTGATGGTAGGAATTCATACGAATTGGCCAACACATAAAATATGTACGATTTAGCAAAAATCATACTAATTTGTACGAGTGAGATCGTACGAATTGTTACGAATTAGCCACCTTGTAAAATTCGTACGAATTGCCGTGAGATCGGGTTGGACCATCGGTTCAAAGAGTCACATGATGTCACTCATTCACTTACAACTGATTAGTGACCTTGAAAACAGAGCAGAATATTAAATATTTCTTCTTCATCATTCATTTTGTTTGGTTTAAAATCCTAAAACTTTATTTGAAATGTGGTTTTAGACTTTGGGACCTCCAGTATACAGAAACCTTTGTCTAACTGTTGCCATATGAACATTTTTCCAAAACAGATACCAGGACGTTTAATCTTCAAAGAAAGCAAGACTAGAAGCTACTAGAGAAATGGAGAATAGATAGTCCAGGAGTGATTTAAAGACTGAAGAGATTGTGAAAATCAAAGACAGATACATACAGAGAAACACATCGACTGAGACTAATCCTCTTCCTAACAGAACACACAACTGAGATGTAGTTCGGACACTGCTGCCCATTCAGTCTATGTCCTGTATGTGTGTGTGTGGAAGCCAAGGACGCCCATGTGTCATGCAGTCACGACGAACGACAAAGCGGACTCTGACTAAACCAGCATGCATCCAACGCTTTTCATAAGACCTGTCTGTCCGTTGGACACCCTCTATTTGAGAAGTATGTCACTCACAGCATTGAGGTACTGTGAAGAAGATCTGTCTCAACAGAAAGGACGACTGTTTTCTCTGGTCTGTTATGGACGGAGCTGGTTAAGGGTCGATGGAAAACTGCAGGCGGGTTAGATGTTTCAGGGCCAATTTTGTGGTCCACTGAGACCTCCTACCTGAGAATGGACGCCAACATGTCTGACAGGCCCAGTGCACACAGCAAATGTGTGTGTTTACAGGGAATGCCACAGTTAACATGCTAACTTTTAGACTCGTTTTATGTTTAAAGCTACTAAAGGAATAGCTCACACAAAAATAAAACTGTCATAATTTTCCCTTCCTCATGTCACTCCAAAACCATAGTGTTTTCTTTAAAGTGTAAAGTAAAACAAAAATGTTTTGCAGAATGTCTTCAATGAACAAAATGAATTTAAAGAAAAAAACATAAAAAATAATGTTTTTAAATATATACACAGAAGAATGTGAAAGCCAGGAAATAAACAAAAGGTTTTGAAAAATATAAAAGAATGTAAAGTTATGACGTCAAATCACACACACACACACACACACTTAGTATACTAAGTTAAATACTAGGGAACTATTTTCTTATGTTTTATTTACTATTATTTTACTTGTCTATTATCTTTGTCATTCTATGCTTTATATAAACGATACAAGGTATTTAGTTTCATCAAGGCGTGCATCACAAAACAACATGTATTCAAATGCTATTCAAATAGATATTGACTTGACAAACATGGGTACCTTCTCAAACTCTTGTGGATGCATGCGGAAGTTTTGGTTCGTCAGATTGAGTTTGGACAGCTTCTCCTTTAACATCTCCAGCTTAGCTTTATCTAAGAGGTGCAGTGAGGGATATTAAAAGAGAGTTCTTTCCAGACAGAACAGAACTGTATTATATACGTAATTTCATATTAAGCCTAACATCTCACCTTCCTCTTTCCTCTCCTCATTTTCCTCTTTCAGCTGCTGGTCATTCTCTGCTATCTTTACAGTAGATTTAGGGGTGAACTCGGGGACTTTTACTCCCTGCAGAACGCTCTGAATGTCAGCACGATTTTTTGAGCCTGTAATCCCATAGATCTGGCCGTATAAATTCGCCGCCGCCACAATGAAGTCCATATGGGTGGTCTATAAAGCAAGAGAAATGGGTAATCAGCTCCAATCAAAATATGTTTATTAAAGCTGGCAAAACTAAAGTGAAACTGCGTGTTTGTGTTTGATTTTGGGCTGAAGGGTGGAAAACATGCTATGAATCATGCAGAGAAACAGAATGGCAGTGGTTAACAGGAAATGATGAGAGGAAAGTGTGTAGTGCATTCAAAAAACAACACTTCCCAAAATGGGTTAACTATAGAATTCAAATTGACTGTGAAAAGAGAATTCTTTAGTTTAGGGGAAAACTAATCTTACCAAATGATGATAACATTTACAAAGAATCCAGACAATGAAAACAATGGGCCATAAAACTGAATAATGGTTGTAGAGCGGAACCATTTGCATAGCCTAATTAAAATATTTAGAAGTTTGTCTGAAAGGGTTTCTGTGAAAAGCATGACCTGTGTGCTATTGTGCCTCTGTGTTTACCTGTGTGAGTGTGTCTCTGTATGTGGGCTCGGGCGTTTAACATGTTTTCACTTTGCTTTGTTAATCTCAGGTGATCAATATCAGATAATTCACACCAGGAGAAAAACCGTGAGTCGTAAAGTTAGACATTCCTGTCTGCAGGGGATGATGGGAGATTCCAGAGATTGTGCATGGGAATTTACACAGTAAAACTTACATTGCTTGTGTCAAAGGTCAAAGGATGTGGACATCTCTTTGCGCCCATCCAGAACGGAAGTCCAGAGCTTGTTACCTAGTGAGGAAGGAGAGGAGAAAAAGCGTTTTTAAAGTGTTTACATGTTCTTTTAATGTTTTTAAATATAATATTTATTTGTTTGTTTTTTTATTCATGTAAATGTATATGCATGTATTTTTACTATGCATGTAAAATTGTATTTTATATATATATATATATATATATATATATATATATATATATATATTATTTAATGTTGGTCTATTTTTAAAAAAGAGGTATAAGCATTATTTATTGTTGTTCATTTAATATATAAAAGATACTCTTAAAGATGCTATATAGTTATATTATTATTATTATATCTAAAAAAATTATGTTTATGTAGGATTAATTACAGTTTAAAATACTCTGTATACTTTTTAAATAATTATATTTATTATAATTATGATTAAATGCTTGTCTATTTTTCATTTAAAAAATACTTGTATATAGACTGTTTTACTTAATGTTGTTCATTTAAATATATAAAAAAAATACACTTAAAAGCGCAATATAGTTAGCTCTAGAAAACAAGAATGGAAAACGTCTACATCTGTTGTGAACCAAATGGAAGCCCTGCAGCCACACCAGTCACATGCTGATGTGAAGTGGACGTGATTGGTCACCATAAAGCCCATGTCTCCAAGCCTTTTGCTTAGAGAGACAGAGTAATGAGTTTATCATGTGTAAATGTGTGTGTTCAATACATTGTGTTTTAACAAAAAACAAAAAAGGCTGCAAAGAACAAAGGCAGACCAAAAGAGTAGTAACACAAAGCTTATTCCACTAGCTGAACAGAAATAACTGTTTGTGTTGATCTTTCCAGCCTTCTTTCTGCACTTCAGGAAAGACTTCCAACTGACAATGAGAAACTTTTATGCCAAGATCGTCCAGAACTTCATGATTGATTCTTGTTCAGTATATTCAAGCACAAACCCCTGAAACTAAACTGTGGTCTACACATCTGCGACTTCAGGGTCGCAGATGTGAACTGTTATATCTGGACATGCAAGATAAAGGACATTTCAGAGTTTCAAAACTCTTGCCCATATCACCCCTCCTCTGAATAAATGTTTATCTCTGTGTGCAGGCACTGATGCTATGGATTAGACAAACCCACATCCATACTGTTAGACAACCATAGACGCACAAACTCCAAGTAGAAATGATATTTTTCACTGAATAAGAATCTCATATATTTAGAAACAAACAAATCATTGTAATATGCTGCAATTCACATAATGAAGACTTTTGGATTTATAGTAAGACCTCAGATAATGACATGAATGACTGATTTTGATGTGAACGATTTCATAAATATATATGATATATATATATATATATATATATATATATATATATATATATATATTTCTCTAATCATAGTCCCACTGTTGTTATAGACAACAGCGCCACCTGTTGGTACTGCTCGTCAAAATGAAACCACATTCAATCACACTTGTGAAAAACTAATGCCAACTCACTTTTTTAACATACTCATAATCAAAATGTCAAATGTATATATTGATAAGACTAGTAAGTAGTCATTTTAGTAGGTCTTTTTTTATCATCCAAAGCATTTAACTGCACAGTTTTGGGGGGAATCTCACAAAACATGACACAACCATATGGTTTTTATTTCATCCCAAATAAATAATAAAAAGAAATGTATAAAAAAATAAATTATAATTTAATTTGAATAATAATTTGCTTAAAGACAATATTTTTTATAGAACTATTAAGAATGACACTATTTTTTTATAACAATTTAGCACATTTTCCCCCCATTGTCCCATGTGATTATATATATATATATATATATTGCATTACAGCCTAGGAACCATTAGCTTTAGCCACTAAGCCACTATGTTACCTGGTCAGGGGGAAAGCAGTGCAGTAGTTGTCTAATGTGATTGTTGTAAAGCGTTTCCCACTGTTTGCGGGCCCAACTGATACAGTCGGCCCAGTTCTGAGGCCATTCCTCGCTCAGACACCTATAGACGCCCTCCAGCATTTCCACAGCCTCCACATCCCCACGGGTGACTGTGCGATCAACAAAGGTTGGGTCACTGCAGACAAAGATGGAAAAAAGTTGTGTATGAGTAGCTTTTTTGTTTTCATTTTTTCAGCATCAATCGTTTAGACTAAACTTTATATGGGCCCAAAACCATTCAAAACATTTCATTACTCAAAAAAAAACAAAAGTGATAAAAATTATATAGAACTTTTTTTTTTAATATTAATAAAATTGTCAAAAACATATCGCAGAATTACCAAAATTTGATCAAAAATACGACAGTACAAACAATTCAAAATTTTAATAAACAACTGTAATAAGTGTATTAATGATACTACAATAACAAAAAACTGTTGAGTACACAGGAGGTAGTTGAGATCATCAGTTATGCGGCTGCCTTCCCTTTGCGGTATCTGTCTGCAGCACACAGCACCTCAACTTCCTGCACACTCGCCTTTTTATAAACATCCTTCACTTCATTTCAGATGGAAAAGAGATCTGACAACACTTGACACTTGTGGCAGGAAGCCAGGGAGCAGCCAAGGGTTGCACTAATAATGAATAGCTGAGTCTGGACATGAGGAGTGGGACACATTTAAGGAGTACAATGCTGAACAGAATCTCTGACACAATATCTGCATCTGCTGATAACAGTTGTGCCTCTTCACCCTATGTTTCCTCCCCACATTTGATGTTTTTTTCTCTTCTAGACTATTGACTAGTTAATGTATTTATCTCTACCTGAGATAGTGGTTCACATTCTCTGCCGTTTGCTTGAAAAGCCCTTCAAACTGGTCTCTGGCCCACTGAAAATGATAAAAATAATTTGTGATTCACACACGCAGCCTCATGTTTGCATTAACGGTCACTATGTGCATTTGCAAATATACAGAAATATTTTGATCATAAAAGCCTGGATATATTACATAATTCAAAAAAAAGTATTTTCTGTATTTATTGGTTTGTTTTTATATATATTTCCACTTAAGTTAAGGGCCATTTTCACCAAGGATGATAACTATAAATATAAACAAAGTTTTATTAACAGTTTATTAAAGTTTTATTTTATTACCGTTATATTATCTTACTAGCTATATATAACTTATAGAAAGAGTGAAACGTTAAGAAGTTACATTACCTGTATGGCAAAATACATAATGATTTGAGGAAGTTTGTAGTCAAAGAATGGGCAGGCCTCATCAACAATATGCTTTTTTAGGGATGGGCAACGATTAATCCCGATTAATCGCATCCAAAATAAAAGTTTGTGTTTAGATAATATATGTGTGTGTAGTGTGTATAATTAATTTGTATATATAAATACCCACACATGCATCTATATATTTAAGAAATATGTGCATGTAAATATTTTATATATATTTATTCACAATTAATATTACATATAAATATAAATATTTGATATATTAATAACACATTTTTCTTAAATATATATATGCATGTGTGGGTATTTATATATACAAATTAATTATACACACTACACACACATATATTATGTAAACACAAACTTTTATTTTGGATGCGATTAATCGCGATTAATCGTTGCCCATCCCTAAAAAAGCATATTGTTGATGTTTCGTCCCTACTAGTGAACGTGCCATAACTGGTTATCCGCCATCATCGTTGGCCCTGCTTACTAGCCTGCTATATTTGTCAATACAACAACCAGTAAATCTGTTAAACAGAAAGTGTATGATAAAATAAACCGTCCACCATTACAAATGCCTTCTTACCTGCAGTGTGTGCTCTATACGGTGCGGGAAGTTCTTGAGTGTGCAGATGGGAAAGGCTTTCTGTCCTCCAGATGAGGAGGGTCCATACGATTCCGTCAGATGTGGTACTACCACCAAAGTGTGGCCTTTACTACCCAGAGTTCCTCCCTCCAGCATGGGCTTTTTGTTTCGCACACAGCACTGGTCAAGATAGACTCCTAATGGACAGAGAAAGTAAAGTAAAGTGTAAGGCAACACAAACTTCTGGCTGATAAACACTGATGGTGTATCATGGGTCAGCACTCACGTGCATCCACATTATCCAGCGCAGCTGCTACGCCATCAAGGTGACTGTAGAACGAATATGTGTAGACCTCCTCCGTCTCCGCACACACACGGTTCTGGTGAGAGATGATGTTCATGTAAGGGTTCATCTCTTTAACAGACTCCGCCGCCACCTCCGACTTCAGCCTCTGAGAAAGATGAAAAGAAGAAATGTAAATGCCTTACAGTGATTTTACAACAGTTAAGGCATGAGAAGTGGACATGACTCAATCAATCATAGTTAAGAGATGGACCGGTTTTAGATTACGGTCATTGATATTGTACTAAAAAATGTTCTGAAGTTCAAATCAGCAGTGTAGCTATTCTGTGTCAACTCTTCTTACCCCGATGTCCTGAGAGCGGAACAGAAACTGTCGGTTCAGATTTGATCGCTCAATAGAGTCCATGTCAGTCACTGTAATCTTTCCACCATCTCCCGCACCCAGACCAATCAGAGCAAAGTTCTTCAGCAGCTCACAACCAATTGCTCCAGCTCCAACCTGATCACATAGACGTTAGATGAGAATTGATGAATAATATGGATTAATAATCTCCAAGACTGAGAGATGGAGTAGGACTTGGGGTTTTTAAGAGAGGTTAAAGATGGAAGGACTACGTTTATAGCATAAATGTACACAACCGTTCAAAAGTTTAGGGTCGCATAAAAAAGATTTTTGAATGTTTTTAAAATAAGATTATTATGCTCACCAGAGCTGCATTTATTTGTTCAAACTTATTATAAAAACACTAACACTATGACATTTTAAAATAATTTTTTTCTATTATATAATATATTTAAAATGCAATTAAATCCTGTGATGGCTTTCAGCATCATTACTCCAGTCTTCAGTCACATGATTATTCAGAAATCATTCTAATATGCTGATTTGTTGCTCAAGAAATTATTCTTATTAACAATGAACCGATGTTAAAATGGTTGTTATAGTTTTTTAGGATTCTTTGATGAAAACAACGTACATTTATTTGAAATAAAAATCTTTTGTAGCATTATAAATGTCTTTATTGTCCCTTTTGATCAATTTAATATATCCTTGCTGAATGAAAGATTAATAAAAAAATATTTACAGACCCCAAACTTTTGAACAGTAGCGTATGCTAAAAGCAAAAATACTACTTTATTAGCATAAAACTTACATAAACAAACAATATGCTAAAATAAAGAAATCCAGGTTTTAGTAACATTCAGAAACACCAAAATGATGCATCAAAAAAATATCCCCTAACAAAAAACTGGAATATTAGGTTGATTCACAGAGGAAACTCTGACCAACATATCCTTAGTGCTCAACAGGAAATAGCACATGGCACATCAAATATTTCCTGTGCATTCTACACCACTGACTCACTGATCTGCTCACTGCCCTGCATAACAGATCAACAATAACTGACAGTCATCCAACAGGGTTTACTGAAACACAAAAAGGGTAATGACCTCCTCTGCTGGTGAAGCAGGAGAAACACACTCACCAGAAAATAGTTCTGTTTCTTCAGCTTGTCTTGAAAATCAGATCCAAACACAGCAATCTGCCCATCATATCGGCTGTCTCTCTGCAGCACAGAGGATAAAGATCATGAGACATTTGAGACATGAGACTTTTGTATTTTCTAAATACTGCGAATGAGCTTGCTTGCTGCTTACAGGAGCACAGGCGTCTTCAGTAAGGACAACTCCATCCTCCTCTAGAGGCAGGCATTCCAGGGCATCGAAATACAGCCACTGCCTGAGAGGAGTGAATTTACCACTGCACGCCTGAAAGATATATAGATAGAGCATGCTCACAAACTCCATCAACTGGTGATCCTGGTGTAAATTATCATAAACACTTTCCCCGCCAGTGATTTTTCAAAATAGTTCCTTGCCACTCTTAGCATTTTGGATCATTTTCACAAAACTTTCATGGCACCAACAGAATATTTTGGATGAATATCTAAACATCCAATATATCAAAAGAAAGAACAGAACCTCTGCTTTTAATCAAAACATGCTATAATAGCTTCCTTAATGCATTCTTTTTTTATCAACACTTGAATGTGATTTCATAAAAAAAAAAAACCTACATTTTAAACAAAAAGCTAAGGAAAGTGAAATACGAAATGTGCATTAAAATGCGTTTATTGTTTATGTGTTTTGAGCTTGAGATTCTGTACTCTTTCAGAAGATGAATAATAGCGCCCCCTACCGTATAACAGTAAAAACATGGATTGCAGAACAATTGACCTTTTGCACAGCTGCACTACTTCCTGAACTTAAGCCAGCTCCTTGTTTCCTGTTTGTCATTATTGGACAAATTGATTAATCCAGGTGTGCCTGACCTTAGTAGTCACGGCGACAGTAATCAGACACACCTGAATTAATCAAGTTCGGCCAATAATGGCAGACAGGACACAAGGAGCTGGCTTGATTTCAGGAAGTAGTGCATCTGTGCATAAAGTCAATTCTATCAATGGCGGGGAAGTGTTGTGTCATAAATTACGTAAAATTCCATCAATGGCGTGTAAAGATAAATAAACTCACCTTCACCACCTCCTGAGCAGCCAGCCCTCCAATGAAGGCACTGACAGGTGCCAGGTCACCGCTGGCAACCAGAGATAAATCCCTTACAGCATCTTCATCAAGCTCTTTAAAATTTGCATCTGTACAAAGCTCTTTTGTGATAGTAACCAGCACTTCAGCATCAGCCTACAGAGGGCAGCAAAACACAGAGATGAACTGTAGTCTAGCTACTGAACCATTACATTAACCCCCAGTTTCACAGACAAGGCTTAAATCTAGTCCCAGACTAAAATGCATGCTTGAGCTGTTTTAACCTAAAGCAACATGTACTGACGTCTACACACCAGTACTGTTTTTTCCTAAAGCACATTTATAAAAGCCACTTAAATGTCCTAAAAGAATTAAGGCCTAATCCTGGCTTAATCTAAGCCTTGTCTGTGAAACCAGGCCTAAAGGGTTTAAAAACGTGATGATGCAGATCAATACATTGGATTACTATTATAATATACTGTAGTTTTAGGTGCTTATTATTTCAAAATACAAATCCTGGCCTATTTTTTTTAGAATATATATATATATATATATATATATATATATATATATATATATATATATATATATATATATATATATATATTTAATATTTCATAATATTATTCTTTGAAAATAGTTATGAATCATAGTGATTAGTAAAAATAATCAAATCACATAGTAAAACATTTTTGATTTCTTAATGCATTGCATTTACATAATTGCAATTGAATTGTCAAGTACTTGCACATGCAAATAAAAAAAAGAATCGTATAATAATACTTTTTTTTTTTTTTCATTTAATTGTTGAAGATTGAAATATGGCAATAATTATCAAAGAGTCAGTTTTTCCACAGTGGAACAGTAATATTACCTTTCTTAAACCAACAATACTTTATCTCAATATGGAAAATTTTGATACAATGTGCGTACTTTAAAACACATTTCCAGGATAATAGTGTCATGGTATGACTGACCTGAGATCTAGGATGGGGTGTCCGGTTGTATTTCTGAGTGAATTTATGCAGGGCCTGGAAGGCCAGGTGCAGAGACAGGTGTCTTTGTCTCTTGCCATAGTCTGTCATCTCCACAAGCTCAGGATCGACGAGCGCTTCATTCAGAGCCACATCCAGAGGTTTCTGCAAGCATTAAAACATTACCTGAGGAAGTTGCCTTGCTATAGTCCTGTACATTGACACCACACACTTCCAGGTTTCAAAAGCATACTAACTGTACATCATGACAACAGCATCTTAAATATGGAATAAATCAATAGCAGGTTACACTTACAAAGTTGAGGATTTCAGGCTGTTTCACTTCAGTGGCAACTCCACCCTTCACATACTCGGAAAAGTTTGAAGTGTCACAAATAGTGAAGGAGTAGCTGTCTAAAAACATTGACACATATGTTTGTAATTAAATAAACTGCATGCAATCCACCATTTCTATTCTCAGATCTAGACATTTTCCATATTTCACATAGCACTTACCCCTCACTTTGATCTCAATGGGACCACAACTGTTGAGTTCGGTCATGCCTTGAACCTCAGAAAAGGTCACAAACATGCCATCATTAAACTCATGACTCTCTTCATCTGTGCATGTCACTACGCCTGGATTCTCCTATGGCGAAAAATGTTACATTGTCAGCTCAAATTAATTAATCAAAGGATAGTAAAAAGGAATAAAATATGTTTTGAAAATGAAAAAATAAAAATCTGCCATAAAGTTCTCGCTGTCATGTTTTACAAATCCATAAGACTTTGTTCATCTTTGAAACATGTGAAGATTTTTTTTTATAAATTTCTGTCAAAATTTTGCTTTGCTTTCAATGGAGGGACAGGAATCTCTCAAATTTCATTAAAGACTACTTCATTTGTGTTTCGATGATGAATGAAAATATTATAGATTTTTGAGTATCCCTTTAAAAGGACCAAACTGAAAGTGAAAATGTGATTTTAGTCACGTATCACCTTGCTGATATGAGCAATCATGGCTGAGACAGGAGTTTCTCCATTTGTGTCTCTGACCTCAAACGATTCGCCAAAGTCACAGAACAACTGCCTGCAAACCAAACACAGAAATCAGAATATGATTAAGCACTATTTAAACCGTTTTCACATCTTTTATTTATTCACAGGATCCAGCCTACCCACAAAGCCCTCTGGTGTCAGCCACAATAAACTTTATATTGTTTGAGTGACAAAACGCTCCCACACGTAGTTGCTCTTCTAAAGATGAATTTGTAAGCACCACTACCTATAGTAAAAAACACATAAAATAAGATAAAATGATAAATAAGTTCAGATTCAATTATTATTATTGCATGGACATGGATCATAACTCACCTGGAACTTGCTGAGGAAGTCCTCGTTGAGTTTGTTAGTCCAGGCAGACACTCGAACGTAGACGTTCAGACTAGAAAGCTGCTTCTCAGTACACAAGGCCCGGTTCTGACCCAGATCAGCATCTTTTAGGTAAAACTGAAGACAAAAGAGATTATATTATTTATCCTTTGTAAAGATCTCACAATAACAACTAAATAAACCATTTACATATTTGCAAATTGTTATATGTTATATTTACATAGTTGCAAAGTGTCTAGCGAGAGGAAAGTCTGGGCGCCTCTGCTTAGACTAACGGCCCCAGATAAGCGGAAGAAAATGGATGGATGAATGGCATATTTGCAAATATAACTAGCTTTTTTCCATGGAACACAAAAGGGGAGTGGCTCTTTTGTAGGAAATAAAAATGAATCAACCCCTGCACTAAGCTCTCAAATCTCATTTGCAGTTCAAGTCACAAATGTCATCACAAAACTTTTACATTACATTTGGCACAATGGTTCTTGAGGGACCATGTCTGAATGCACACATCACCGTTCATTTTCATTGCATAGAAAACAGCAGCTCTGAGCATCTTTGATGATTTGCAAAGGATTGTCAGACTACTTGTTGTGGCTTTCCTATAAGCCCAAGACAGGTGGTGAGGTGTTCTTTACACATAAAACCCTGCACACAGCGATATTCATTTGAGCAGTTGTTTTTGTCCATTTAATGAGAGCTTAGAGATTTTACATTGCAGTGGTTCTATGGTAAGAACCATAAATTCCCGCCACCTGTTTCCCTCTGATTCAACCCAACTCATTTAAATACTAATTACTAATATGTTAATTATTTAACATATTAATTAAATAATTAATATGTGATGGAACAGGTGTGGCTTTCACCTGCACCAGTGACGCACACCACCATCTAGTGGTGGAACAAATTACATCTGGCTTCTACACTACTTTTTGGTTGAACTTTTCATTTAATTGCATTAAAGGTCACCTGAGAAGATAGATCTCTCCACTCCACCACACCCTCATCTTGAACGGTGACTGATCGAACTCCAGCCAGAATCACATTCTTGGCAATTTCCACGCCAAGACCTCGCATTCCAGCAATGAGGACGTCAGCCTTTCCCATGCGATGCATTGCATCATGGCCAATCACATACCTGTTGTGAGATGAAAAATTGCCCCGTGCATAAAGTAAAATTTCCGTACATGCTGATTTATTATTTAAAACATTTGAGGTTTCCATTTAAAATAAACTTATTTTGTGTAACAGAGCAAATATATATGTTTATTGGGTTTTTAATATAAATTTAAAATAAGCATAAATTAAATATAACAAATACTGTCACAATGTATATTTTGCACATTTAAATAATTTATGAGATTTTTTTTCACATAAAAGTAAACAACTTGGTGAAATCCATTCCTGGAATGGGCGTAACTTTTCATAAAGCAACCGAAAATACATTACTAGAATTCCTCAAACTAAGAAACCTGACCTCAAAAACACGATTCAGGGAACATTATAGCTGATACAACAAACTAAACAACTAATGAAACATAAAAGTTATGTACATAAATAAACACATGTCTCTCTTTAAACCTATTGTCTATTAGGTGTCCAGTCTATTAAATTTCTGAAATCTGAGGGATCTGCAAAAATATAAATCTTTAATGTCTAAATGAAATTGTAAGAAGTACAATGCACATTTTTTTTCACCACTGGAAATATAATAATACAAGCATTCAGTTTCAAGAACCCTTCATTTAGTATTTCTAAAGTAAAATAAACACAAAAAATTAAATCTGGGGAAACCAAAATAGGGAAAGTTGTAGTATGCCATGTAAGAATATTTTACAATGCACTTACAGCTGTCGAGAATATAATCCCTCGTCAATATCAGCCTGAGCCATTTTTCTGTAAGAATGACAAATCATTATCAGTGGTAACTATATTTACAAGGAAGTACTACGTGTCAGATACCATGATAGCTAATAATTGAATTCCATGTTCGTCTACCATACAACATTCTAAAAGTACTGTTAGTATTATTATTATTATTATTAGCTATTATTATTGTGTAAAAAAATGTTAACACCTCGGTGTAAACAATGCATTGACAGTTTCAAGGCAATGTGAGTGACGAACTCATAAAAAAATATGACAACTGTATAATTCTATAACGCGCTATTATGAACGAGTAAGGAATATTTTCAATAATTTAACGTTACCTTTCAACGGAGTTTGCCGTTTGCTTCCTCTGTCAAAACAGAAAGTAGTATGATTCAGAGTAGTGGCTTTCACTTTCATTTCTGTTTGTGTTGTGTTCCTGACATTGTGAAACTTGGCCTGTCGCGCACATTCATCCATATTGAGTTATTAAAAAGATAACTATTAATTGTTTATCTTCGAAAGCCCCTGTCAATACAATAGATGATGAGAATGAGATTCATCGGGTGACGTCAGTCACATAACCGTTACCTCAGAACCACACGACGGCGCTGCTAATCCACTGAAATATGTGACTATGTGGCTAGAATTGAAGAACGCACAAGAAACAAGTGACAGGGCTGGGTGACCTGACATTTATCTCAAAATGGTCAAAACGATTCTAAATAATATTACGAATTTTCGTAGTTTCACTCTGCCATTTATCGGTATAATATATCATCCTAAGCGATGCCGACGTTTCCCGTCACGTGACAACTAATACTTTTTTCAGTTTTAGTCAGCGCTTAATGGACCATTTAAAAAATATATTCAATTAGTAGCCTATATCGGACAGTAGGCTATATTTATTAATTTATATTTAATAATTTATATGTTTTTATACAATTTGAAACTTTCTCAAGATTAGGCCTGCAACAGCCTGCTGTTAGACTACTTCATGGCCTGCCTAAAAACAACGTCCAATATTTTACTGATGTAAAATAGGCCTACACATTGATTTGATTTACACAGCTATGCTTTGTGTAGGATACAGAAATGCAGTTAATGCAGATATACAACAATACTATCTTGATCTCTGCTTTAATATTTAGTATCTTGATCAATTGGTCTGGTAATATTTAACCTATTATAAACGGGATAAACAGTCGACAATCTAAAAGTTACAATCGATTGTTAAAGAGGAATATTTGTGAGGAACATGAGTAAGTAAAAATCTTTTGTGGATACATATCTGTGGCCCTCAAAATGTAGGACCATTTGCGCTTTTAAGCCATACTAGTCATTGCATTCAACCTATAATGTATCAAACACAATGTATTAGGCAACAACTTATTTCCATAATGTTTGGAAATGTGTTTTTTTGCAGCTGACTAGTTGAAATACCCTAATTAATTTATGATTTATGATTATATATATATATATATATATATATATATATACATACATAATCAGCAACAGCAGCAGCAACAGTCTTTTTTAGTTGACTAATCGATCATGCCCAAAGGGCCTATATATAATCAGAATTTTGATGGCACAATTTTTACAATGATAACTCTGCATGTAAAGTATTCCTTCATTTGTTTCATAAACTTCTGGTCTCGGACCCCATAAATCAATGGGCTCAGTAATCTAGGCATAATATTTGTGAGCAGATAAATACAGAAAGTGATCTTAGTTCTGTGTACAGGGAAAAAAGCATTAATAAAAATGTACATAAAAGGGGTGAAATAGGAAAGCATACAAAGAAGTAACTGGACGCCATGCAACAATATCGTACTCTGAGCCTTATTTGCTGAACCCTTTGAAGCTGCCTTTCTAGCAGTGAACATGACTCTGCAATAAGTAGATATGAGAATTATCCACACCAAAGTCATATAGATGATCTGTGATATGGTGGTGTTGTCCTTGTGGGCTTTGGAAGTAAACATGTTGAATGGGTAGCAAAGTACAACAGACCTGAAGAAAGATATGGGCTGGATTGAAAATAAAATAATGATATCTGCCAGAGAAGGTATAGCTCCTAAAACCCATAGCAAGCATATAAAGATGTAGGTTCTTTGTGGAGTGCAAATCTGAGAGTGATGCAGTGGTTTACAGATAGCAATGAACCTTTCAATGGCCATACCAGCCAGATTCAAAGGAGTGATCATGAATGTGGTTGAACCAAGAGCAATCAATGTGCAACACCATGAAACATTAAGAAATGGTATAGCGTAAGTCAAAACATATAAAATTACTGATATACATATCATGAGCATGTCATTGATTACCAGGTGAATGTATAAAATGTATCTGGAGTCTCTTGAAAACATTACATTAGAAAAAAAGGTCACTACTAACATTCCGTTGATGAAATTAATGAATATACCAAGACCAACAATCACAATGTTTTTGGCAAGAGCTTCTTCATAACTATCCACAAACCAGATCGTCGAGTTCATTTCTGAGAGGGAAAACAGGACAGTGGTTAAAAAGTGCACATTGTCTCTATGTAGTCCAAGCAAATGAAAGAAATGACTAATGATAACTAACAGAGGTTAACATTTTCCTAGAGCTTATCTCATAAACAATATCTCCCTAATTTCTAATTCAAATTCACACCAAAACCTGTTTCGATTTACCTTCAGCTGAAAAACCAGTTCTGGATGTGGGAAGAATGAAGCTCGCATCGGTTTTAATTGGTAGAGTGCAACTTTGCTATTTATGCTTTGTGGAAAGGGAAAATATCATGAATATTAAACCTGTTACCCACAAGGATCATCTAATATTTGCATTCATGACGTCATTGCAGAATAACAGCAGTTTGTCTGACATGCAAACTGTTTGTAGTTTCTAGGGTATTCTCAGTGATTTCAAAGAATGTACATGTTTGTTTATGTAGACTGATCTCATGAAAAATCAGTGACAGGACATTGATTATTTTGATATTTTTTTATATAAAAGTTATGTCGCTCAGGAAAATTGACATCTTCATCCTTTATTCAATTTTTAGTCAAAATTTGTTGAAGATATGCTGAACTTAAGGCCGTAAGGAAATACATAGGAACACATAATGCAACAAAACAAAACAAAAAATCAATAAATGGGTTCATTTCAGCAAGTGCAAATGGTACATCTGGTCTCAAGTGTTTCTCATGGTCATGGATGGTAGGGTGGCCTCATTTTAAACATCCAATTCTTCACTACCACTGTGATGAAGTTAAATGATAGTGGAATTTATTATTTACGAGTTACATTCTAAAAGTACTGTTAGTATTATTATAATTAGAGGAGTGGGTTTCAGTTTCTGTTTTTGTTGTGTTCCTGACATGTGTAACGTGGCCTCTTGCGCACATTCGGACTTGAGTTATTTTATTGTTTGTCTCTTCGAAAACTCCTGTCACTTGACGATGAGATGGTGAGGTCAACATAACATAAACCTCAGAAAAACATCACGACAGCGCTGCTAAGATAATATTGGAATATAAGGCTAGAATTGAATAAGAAACAAGGCTAAGCTACAATCCATTTATGTCAAACTGGTCAGATAAGATGAATCTAAATAATTCTAACATTTTTCTTAGATAAAGTTTCACTCTGCCATTTATAAGGTGTAAAATGTTATCCAAAGTGGTGCCGACATTCCCGGTCAGGTAAAAACTGATACTTTTTTAACAGCGCTTCCCGGACCATGCACAAACTTTTGTGATAAAAAACACATCTCTATTAATATGTCGGGCAGTAAAGTATATTTATTAATTTATATGAATAATTATATTTTTTATATCATTGGATGTTTTTTTCAAGATTAGGCCTCCAACAGTGATTAGAGTCTGCAACGTCCAATATTTCACAGATATACACCTCCATTTGATTTATACAGGCATCTGAAGGATAATTCATTCAAATTTATAGCACAATACTGTCTTGATCCCTGATTTAAATGAAATGATCTTGTCATTTTTAGCCAATTATTAATAGGGGATATACAGATTATTAAAGAGGAGCATGCTATTTCATGCAAAATGAGACAGTAAAAATGTTTTTTGAAAAGATATATGCTGGAGCCCTCAAAAGTCATTGCATTCAACAATATGTCATGTAGCTTTATAGAAAAATGTATTAGACCACAACTAATTTCCATAACTTTTAAAAGAAAATTTTGTATAAAAAAATAAGCCCCATGTGCTGCAAATGCTTGTCTCGCATTATGATCATTGAGCGTGATTTACTGCAATGTCAGAACCAGAACAAAAGTGGATGTTTCTTACTTTTTCAGATTACATTTTCTAGTGAAAAATATTATGTTGGTCATTCTTCCAAAAAGACTGCCATTATCCACACCGGCGCGGTGTGTGTTCATCTGTGCCATGTCGAAGTACAACTCACTTTGATAATTCCGTGAATAACTGCAGTTGCAGATTTCGAACAGAGATGGCGACAAAAGAGGAAAAACTGCGGACTGCAGCATTAAGCATTCATTTAATCAACATACATCAATACATATATTAAAATCAACTAAATCAATGTGCAGTGCAGGACCATTAGGCCTAAATAGTCGATATTTTAACAATATTGATATTGGATAGTCCGCTTCAGATATACACTCTTCAAAACATGTGTGCAACAAGAAACATTTAAATGACTTTATGTCCACTAGCAGCAGCAACAGTCTCTTGTAGTTGACTAATCGATCATGCCCAAAGGGCCTATATATAATCAGAATTTTGATGGCACAATTTTTACAATGATAACTCTGCATGTAAAGTATTCCTTCATTTGTTTCATAAACTTCTGGTCTCGGACACCATAAATCAATGGGCTCAGTAATCTAGGCATAATATTTGTGAGCAGATAAATACAGAAAGTGATCTTAGTTCTGTGTTCAGGGAAAAAAGGAGTAATGAATATGTACATAAAAGGGGTGACATAGGAAAGCATACAAAGAAGTAACTGGACGCCATGCAACAATATGGTACTCTGAGCCTTATTTGCTGAACCCTTTGAAGCTGCCTTTCTAGCAGTGAACATGACTCTGCAATAAGTAGATATGAGAATTATCCACACCAAAGACATATAGATGATCTGTGATACGGTGGTGTTGTCCTTGTGGGCTTTGGAAGGGAACAAATTGAATGGGTAGCAAAGTACAACAGACCTGAAGAAAGATATGGGCTGGATTGAAAATAAAATAATGATATCTGCCAGAGAAGGTATAGCTCCTAAAACCCATAGCAAGCATATAAAGATGTAGGTTCTTTGTGGAGTGCAAATCTGAAAGTGATGCAGTGGTTTACAGATAGCAATGAACCTTTCAACGGCCATACCAGCCAGATTCAAAGGAGTGATCATAAATGTGGTTGAACCAAGAGTCATCAATATACAACACCACGAAACATTAAGAAATGGTATAGCGTAGGACAAAACATATAAAGTTATTGATATGCATATCATGAGCATGTCATTGATTACCAGGTGAATGTATAAAATGTATCTGGAGTCTCTTGAAAACATTACATTAGAAAAAAAGGTCACTACTAACATTCCGTTGATGAAATTAATGAATATACCAAGACCAACAATCACAATGTTTTTGGCAAGAGCTTCTTCATAACTATCCACAAACCAGATCGTCGAGTTCATTTCTGAGAGGGAAAACAGGACAGTGGTTAAAAAGTGCACATTGTCTCTATGTAGTCCAAGCAAATGAAAGAAATGACTAATGATAACTAACAGAGGTTAACATTGTCCAGAAGCTTATCTCATAAACAATATTACCCTAAATTGTAATTAATTACAAATTACACCTAAACCTGTTTTAACTGTTTAAAACGTTTAAATTACACCTAAACCGCTTTGAGTTACCTTGCTGAAATCCCGATTCTGGACTGTGGGAAGAATGAGGCTTGCATCAGTTTTAATTAGTAGAGTGCTACTTTATTTATGGTTTGTGGAAAGGGCAGAGATCATGAATATTTAGCCTGTTACACACAAGGATCCTCTAATATTTGCATTCATGACGTCATTGCATTACAATATAACAGCAACATGCATCGAACATGCAAACTGTTTTAGCACATTGGAGTTTTGGGTGATCTCAGTGGTTTCAAAGCAGGAATGTACATGTTTTCCAATGCAGACTGATCTCATGAAAAGCAGTGACAGGAGGTTGATTTTTGTTTATTTTTAGCATAAATTGGAGCACAAAAGTGGCCGCCCTAGGAAAATTGACATCTTTATCTTTTATTAAAATATTGTTACTATTTTTTTTTAAGATTTTGTAAGCATATTGCATGCATAGTTGTGCTTTTTTATTTGCGATAATAACACAATGAATAATCCATTGATATTCACTACTAGATGGCACTCTTCCCCGGACTATTGTCATTCAATCAAAAACTGCATTTCCCATAATCCTTTGCCTGGACTCATTTGTGATTGCATTCAGCTGCTACTCATTATCTTGTTTACTAAATTACCATAATTTTTGCCCAGGCTGTCATACAAAGAAATTATGAACACATGCAAAAACACTGATTACCAACAAAATATTAATAACTGATTATGTTGTATTTAAGGTATGCTTTTTTTCCTGGGCTATTTGTTTTTCTGTGCATTGTTTTGCATAGTAAAATAAAACCTGCAGCTTTACCCCTTTTTTGCCAAACAATTTTGTCAGATAAATATCAACCAAGTGTAGGCCTAGGCCTATGTTATATTGTTAACCTCACCACAAAATGAAAGTAATCTGTTAAAAAGTAGTACAATAAAACTGTAAACTTAAAACACAAAGGATCAGAATTTACACTCCAATATTTTATTAAAAGTAATAATCAAAATACAGTATTTTTATCATCAACATTAAGAAGCAGCTTTCGCATATTGTAGTTTGGTAATGAAGACATTTTAATTGATAAAACAATAGTACAATCCAATATAAAGACAAGATTTGTAGTTGTGATTATTTAATGGATAATTCCCATAGTTAACTGCGTGAACTTCAGAAGAACAGATTTTATACATCCGTAACTCATTAAAAGACTTTGAGGAAAATGACTCAGAAAATTGAAGTAAGTTCTGAGCAAAGTTCGTTCATCATTTCTTTGTGTATGACACATGGTTAGATATTTTATCTTATTCAGTTGCTTTCATATACTTTCAAGTTTTTAGGTCACTGTAAAGATTTTCAAATCTCAAAAAAAAAAGTCATAATTAAAAATAATTTTATTTTGGCACAATTTTTACAATAATAACTCTGCATGTAAAGTATTCCTTCATTTGTTTCATAAACTTTTGGTCTCGCACCCCATAAATCAAAGGACTTAGTAATCTTGGCATGATATTTGTGAGCAGATAATTAAAGAAAGTGATCTTAGTTCTGTGAAAAGGAAAAAAAGGAGTGACAATCATATCCAAAACAGGGGTGAAATAGGAAAGCATACAAAGAAGTAACTGGACGCCATGCAACAATATCGTACTCCGAGCCTTTTTTGCTGAACCCTTTGAAGCTGCCTTTCTAGCAGTGAACATGACTCTGCAATAAGTGTAAATGAGAATTATCCACACCAGAGACATATAGATGATTTGTGAAGCAGTGGTGCGATCCTTGTGGGCTTTGGAAGGGAACAAATTGAATGGGTAGCAAAGTACAACAGACCTGAAGAAAGATATGGGCTGGATTGAAAATAAAATAATGATATCTGCCAGAGAAGGTATAGCTCCTAAAACCCATAGCAAGCATATAAAGATGTAGGTTCTTTGTGGAGTGCAAATCTGAGAGTGATGCAGTGGTTTACAGATAGCAATGAACCTTTCAATGGCCATACCAGCCAGATTCAAAGGAGTGATCATAAATGTGGTTGAACCAAGAGCAATCAATATGCAACACAACGAAACATCAACAAGTGAAGCGTAGGTCAACACATATAAAGTTACTGATACACATATCATGAGCATGTCATTGATTACCAGGTGAATGTATAAAATGTATCTGGAATCTCTTGAAAACATTGGATTGGAGAAGAAAGTAACTACTAACATTCCGTTGATGAAATTAATGAATAAACCAAGACTAACAATCACAATGTTTTTAGCAAGAGCTTCTTCAAAACTATCCACAATCCAGATCGTCGAGTTCATTTTCCGGTTCTTTTGATCTGGATCAGAAAGAGGAGAAAGTGTTTAAGAAGTGACCTATTCTGCTTAGCTTAATCCTTTTTAAGAAGTCTTAGACTTACCTTTGAGTAGAAGAACCGTTCTGGATTGAGGGCAGTCTGAAGCTCATACGAGTTTTAATTGGTACAGTGATACTCATGTGTTATTTATGGCTTGTGGGAAGGTCACAGATTATAAATATTTATGTTGGTCATTACCCCTGGGTCACTGTAAGCTTGGCTATTATTCTGTCCTGGCAATGATGTTCTAAACCGAGCGTTGACAGATAGTTAACAGAAATAAAGCTCCCTCCCACGTTCTTCTTTGTGCAAATTACAAAGTGATTCACAAAATATATTTTACATTCACAAACATCCAATTACACATTTTAACTCAATAATCAACCAATATGCGTTAATGGTGTGCTTGAAGAAAAGCTTCTATTAGCCCACAGAACGCGCTCAGTATTAAACATCGATCAAACATTTTCTGTTACTTTAATGACAGTGGAATGTTTGCAATGCAAAGCAACACAGAGAATATTCTCACTCCCAAGGCGTCACCTAACTGACGCCTTGGGAAGCATTTGACCATGCTTCAATATCTGACGCTTTAGGCGCCCTTTGGCGTCAGTTAGATCAGCGGTTCTCAAACTGGGGGCCACTAGATGGCGCTAGGGGGGCCGCAAAGAAATTCTAGAATATGAAAATTATTTAAAAAAATTATTTTACCTGTATGTAAGTTTGGATTGTCCTATGTGAAATCTGCATTGCATGATTTCTTTTATATTGTAAAACTTGTATAAAATTGTATGTCTTCTATATTGAAAAACTATTTCTTTAAGTAGAGTAGAATTTTTTTTTTTGTTTCTTGCTGAAAAAAACAGATTGCTGTTCAAATTTGCAAACCAAACTTGAGCCACTGTCATTTATTACCTTAAAATGTAAGAAGTTTAATGCACTTTTTTACAATCAGCAAATTAATTTTTCAGTGTTTATCTTTTACTATGAACATCACAAATGTTCAGTATTCAATACTTTTGTTGCACTTTTCAGACAATATTACTGTTAACTGTCAAAACCATTTTTTATTTAAAAAAATGTTATATTTAATGAAATGTACAATTTAACTAATTTTGTATATTCAAAGACATAAAGCTAAAAACAGAACTGTTGTTCCAGCATTGTACAAATTCATTTGTTTTTGGTACAATCTAAAATTTGTAAGTAAAATTGTACGTTTGAGGATGTTTTCGTTATGAGTTTTCTTTTGGGGGGCCACAAAAGGATTCACCCTACACAAGGGGGCCTCCTCCTGAAAAAGTTTGAGAACCACTGAGTTAGATGACGCCCTAGGATCGCGTGTACCCTACCTCCACCCCACACCTAAACCTAACCGCGTCCTCTAACTGACGCTTTCCTTTAGCGTCAGTTAGATGACGCCGTAGGATCGCATCATGTAAGTGACGCTAAAGGGCGCCTAAAACGTCAAATATTGAAGCATGGTCAAAGGTGACGCCTTGGGGTGAGAATGTGTTGCAATATATAACTAATTGACAAATCAGTGCAGTTTATTGAAGGTTTGTCTGTAAATTCGTTAGAAAATATTGCCACAACACTCACTATGATGGACATTTTACTGTCATAATATGACATCACTCTACGTCATCTTTTTTTAAAAACATAAATTCAATGTATAACGAATAATGCTAAATCCAAAATGTAAAAATATCAACTATGCAATGCAAATAGAAGTTTGCATTCGTTTAATTCATCTTAAAGGTCACTCTCTATTACATATCGATTCTCTATTGGTCACACGTCTTCTCAATATACGAATTTGCAGGTCAGAGTTCACCAAACTTGGGCTGTGTCTGAAATTGCACCCTATACCCTTAAATAGGATACTATTTTAGAGGACAGCTATTTGTAGTGGTTTCCTAAATCATAGTGGACGTTATCAAGTACACTCTTTCAATCCCATAATGCATTGTGATGGTTGCGTCGAATTCATTCCAGCATCTTGCCAATAGATGGAGCCCACAGCTGAATCATCCATCCATTCATTTTCCAAACCACTGGTCCAATGTGGCTACAGCGTAATATCATACAGGTATGAATTCCTTTTTACTTGATTATTAAATTGTTTAATTAAGGTTTATACGTGCTAGTTTCCAAAATCTTTTCATCTTACTACTGGAGATGCCAGTTTGCTAAGTTTTAAATGATTATTAAACAGCAAGCACAAACTATGCAAAAGAGATAGCCCTTCCAGCACACTCAGTGTCCAAATTCACTCACTCCTTTTCATTCACTGCTTCTAGTGAACTATTTTAGTGAAGTATAATGTAGGGAATAGTTAAGGAGGGTAGCCTGTAGGGGGCAATTTTGAACTCAGACTTAAACTTTGGAGCTTGAGCATGCGTTTCCGGTCTCCCATATTCGCATGCATTTGAATGCAAGTCGATGGAACGAAATTTGAAGTGTGACCAGTGACCACTCGTTTGATTCATTGCTTCTGCCACATGCCACAGCCAGAGTTATAAGCATTTGAAAAATAATTTGTTGCCACTAGGTGGTGCTGTTTCGAAAATTCTCAGGCTCCTTCAGGGCATCGTACTGATGACCCATACCGAGTTTCGTAACAATTCGTACATGCGTTCAAAAAATAAAGCACTTTAGCACATTATTCATAATGTCCGACAGCCAAAATGGCCGATCTGGGAAAATTGGATATCAGTCGACTCGGCATGACACCCTGAATCTAATGAGACGTAAAATGACATCATTGGGTGCGATCAAATCGTCATGAGCTCAGGAATCAGAGGAAAAAAGAATTTTGTTGATAGGCCTTACGATCCAAAAGTTATTAGCATAATTTGAGTGAAACTTTGAGATGGTCCTCACTGCAGAACACAAAATCCAGGGGGAGGAGTCCAGGAACTCCTCCCACCTTACATATATCTAATATATATACATATACCTTCGGTGATTGGCCCCTAACTTTAATCACAATAACACTCTTTCGGCTTACAACTCTTTCGGCTCTAAAACTCTTTCCACTCAGGCAATCACTCTTTCCACTTGTTGCGTTGTACGAGTCCTCAGACCTCCTCTTTCTCGTCTCTCAGTCGACAGCGGCTTATATCCTTTCTCTCCACACCAATTACTGCAACAAGACACAGGCGTTCGTCATTTTGCATTTGACCTACTTACGGACTGCTTGCCTAAGTTGATTACTGATTGCTCTCAACTTGTGCTGATTGGGTTAATTATTTGCACCTGCTCCTCCCAGCCCGTGTTAATAATGCTGCATTCTCGTGCTATGGAAAGTAGGATATTTTCCACCTGTGAACTGGTATTTACCAGTGTGTTGCGTTCAAGTGCTTTTGTTGTCGTAATGTGGTAAAAAGATGGAGATCCAGACCTGTTATTTAGCTAAAACTATTTTAGATTGCTTAAGTCATCTGCAACAGCAAAAAAAATATTTATCAAAACTCAAAAGGTAAACAATATGCTGTATATTTTCTAGATCATGAATAGTATATATTTTTACCATTCACGACTCTTATGGTGCTCTCCGCCATTTTGAAAATTTCAAAGGTTATCTCATCTCGGCAACTCGTCCATCAAAATATTCTACGAGTTGCCCAGTGGAAAATACCACATGAGGGGGTGTTCATGTGCATTTTCCACGTCGGCTTAATTACCATAGCACATGAACGCAGCATAAAACTTCATTTGTGGCACAGCAAAGTATTGTGAATCATCTGTAAGATTGTTGCTTGAGATTTAGTGATACACTTCACTTAAATTACGACTGAAATGCTTGATAACTGTTAAGCGCAGATTTTGAGCCATTTTTTTTTTACTCTTAGGTCAATTCTCAGCAGTGTTCTTGTGAGTAATTCTCAGAAAGGCTTGATAAATAAGAACCTGGCCTGAACCTATTTTTGGTCACAAATGTTTTCAGAGGAAGCAAAACAGATCTTCAGGTGGGAAAAAGTTGCATCACTAAATGAAGTTGATTAAATTGCAAAAAAAAAAAAAAAAAGATCAGGTTGGTAATTGTGACCCTGACACTTTCTTAGAAAAGAGATGATGCCTGTATCCTATTTCCAAATACCAGACCAAAAAAAAAAAAATTGTCTACACTTTATTTTGTACTTTTGACGTTTGATGATAATTTTGCATTTACTACAGAAGCATGATTATAGTTTACTTTGTCTAACTTTGCACTATTTTCATCGTACAGAGCATTTCGTTAATACAACTGAACAGGAAATAAACCACACAATATTTTAGTGTACAGGTAATTATGGTCTGCCTGCTCATAATCATTTGTATGTACATAAACATTTCTTACATTACTTTTTTGGAGTGCCATTTTAATACATACTTTCATTACGTCACTTTAAAATTCATGGAAAAGTTGATTACAATTAAAGAACACTGTTAATTAATTGCATTAAAGCATGGCAGTACATTTTCTTGGGTTTAACATTGTGGCAAAACATTCATCTGGTTCACTTACATGAAGAATTATGCATGCTTTACCAACAATTGTGATGCATTTCTATGAAACATTTAATGATGTTGCCCCTTTTTGCTCATTTTTTGATTGATTCAACTTTTACAATAAATAATCTGTATGAAAGAAGTTCCTTCATGTGTTTGTAAAAATGCTTATCTCGAACACCATAAATCAGGGGAGTAAGTAGTCGTGGCAAAATGTTTGTTAGAAGATAATTCAAAAAGGTTAGTCTCGCCCGGTCAACTGGAAGAAATGGGATAAACATCTTGTCTATGACAGCAGTAATGTAGGACAACATACAGAGCAGAAGCTGTACTCCATGTAACAGGATGGTGCTTTGGGCCTTTTTTGCTGAGGATTTATCAGTGGTGGATCTCCTGGCCGCAATAAGCACTCGACAATATGTGAATACAAGAATTACCCACACAACAGATGAGTAAAGGCCATTCATAAATCTGGACTGTACTTCATGGTATGCTGTGCTGTACAGAATTGATGCACTACAAGAAGTAACTGTATAAGAAGTAGATAAAGGACGAACAATTGAAAGAAGAATCAAGTCAGCCAATCCAGGTAAAACTCCTACACCCCAAATCAGAGAGATAAGGATGAATGTCCTGCGCACTGTGCAAATCTGCTGATGATGCAGTGGTTTGCAGATTGCGATGTAACGCTCAACGGCCATACCGGCCAAAGTCAGAGGAGTGTTCTTATGAGTTGTTGAGGCTATTATAAGCAGTGTAACACAGAACGGGAGAGGTACATTTTGCCATACATAAGCCATCACAGAAAGAATTACAGTGAAAAAAACCATGAGCATATCATTGATGACCAAGTGAATGTATAATATATATCTCGGATTATTGTAGAAAATTGAACTCCTGAAAAATGTCAATACAAACACTCCATTAATGGACAGAATTATGACTGCAAGAAGAACAACGGTGAAATTTTTAGCAAAAGCATCTGCATATCTTTCTTGTACACTATATAGAAACATTGTAGAGTTCATTGTCCTCATGCACAGTTGTAAAGGTTTTTACTCTTGATGTTCTTTTCACCAACGATGACTTTCAAAAGTACATCCAGCTCATACGATGGTAGCCTATTTATCCGAAAGATTTTTAAAATGACTTAATCTGATATAGAAATGACAAAAGGAGAAACATTTTGTAAGTTATCAATTAAAAGTTAGGAAGACTATACAAAAATAATAATAAGACAACTTACTCTTTTCGATTTGCTTAGTAAATAGTTTGGGCTCCAGACGAAAACTGGCCAGTTTATAAGATGTAAAAGAGGAGGGAGGGAAAAAAAGCAACACAAGGGAAAAGGAAGGCAGGGATGGAAAGAGTGTGATTATTTCTGCACACTGTGTATAGGGAGCTGTGTACTGACTGCACATTTTTCACAAATAAGATATTTGTCAATGACACTTAGGATCTGTTGTTTACCATGTTTCTCTGCCATGGTGGCGCCATCATATTGTCAATCATCTGTCCTTATGCATGGCACACATTGTTCGATTTTGGCCTGTCCCAGACAAAAGATGACAAATTTTTGCGATTTATGTGGTCGTGGCTCCTAACCGTTAAATCCTACGTCATACTGTGTGAGAGTTTCAAAGACGGCCATTGTTACGTTCTTGCGACCAAAGATAGTCTGCGAATATTTTCTAATGTCAGACTCACAGTCTGTTTGCTGCTACGACCTACGTCCACTGAATAGCCAATAAAAATGCAACATGAAATGGCGTATTGATCAACATGACGTTAAATCTTAAACCTACTTACCTCAAGCTCCATTTGCAAAATTGGCATGCCAGGTTGGCCTCTGACAGTGCTAGCCATGTCCATATTCTCTTTCGCTTTGTTCTTCTTTTTTTCAGCGCTCATAAAAACACAATTGCCAAAGTTTATCTTGCTCTATTTGTTTACCACTAGTCCATGCTGATGATGTTTTATTCTTCTATACTTACTTTGGGCTGATTAATTTGGTAATCGAGTAATCGTCTTAAGACGATTAATAAAGCAATCAGATTTCCCTTTCAGTCGCTCACGTTCGACGTGACATTGGGATCACTAGGAGCCCTAACGAGCCAATGAACGTTTCCGTGCGCGAGAAGCATCACGTGACCCGCCCCGCAGCGTGGGTAAACAATAAGCGGGTGCACGCACTCTAGTCTTTCACTTCGAAGCCGTCAAGCCGAGCTTCGATTTGACTCTGAGTTTTTGCACATAACAGAACTTTGTATTTCTTTCATACCTACTCTCTGAGTTTTAGTATGGCTATGGTATGGCTATTCTAGCCTCGAAAGAATTTAGTTAAGCCCCGAATGTTTTTTTTTTTTTTTTGCGGGGAACTGCCCGGAAGTTAGTTGAAATGATATACTTTACATGAGTGACACCTGTCACATATAGGTCAGACTCAGAATGTTCCAAAACAAAAGTATTTATTAAAAACACATACTCAGGTAATCCACAGTTACAAAGAAGGCAAAGAAACAGCATGTTGACTTGACAATACCGGACAACTTAACTGAGAACAAAGAGAAACTTAAATAAATAAAAAATCCTTAAACATAGCTATAGGGCTTTATATCACTCCTGTTATGTAGCTATTAAGCATACTACAACTTCACACATCTATAGCGTCTTCAATATCTCCCCCTTTATCAAATTTCAAGAACATCTCCCAAATTTAATTCAATTTTGAAGACTTCCCCTTAGCTTTTCTGTAGCTCAAACAATAGTGTGTTGGCGCTTACAATGCTAAGGTCATGGATTTGATCCCCAGGGAAAGCAAGTGTGCCTTGAAATGCATTGTAAGTTGCTACGGAAAAGCATCTGCCAATTGCATAAATGCAAGCTTCTTAAAGGTGCCATATAACATCATAAATCAAATCCTACTCCATATTCCATAACAGATGGGGGCAGTATACCTCCAAAAAATGACTTGTGCTCCTACCATCGCGCATGTTATTCAAATCATTTGACATGATAGTAAAAGGTTGGAAGACCGCATTTTCACGTGGAACATTTGGAGATTTTTAGAGATCAGAGACTCAATGAACTAAACACTAGAGTGAACTAAACTAAACACTATGAATCTCAACACTAAATGATGAAGACCGCCTCATAGATCTCAAAAACAAGCTGTTGCATTTCGACGGTATGGGAAAATAAAAGCTTGGGCAATTATTTGAAGTTTATGGTATTCGTTTTGTTCATATTACACTTTTATTGTTAGTGAATTAATTTGACAGACAGCATTCGCTGATGTTGATCAAGCTAGCGCCGTGAATTCACCGTGAGACACACGCAATTGACACTTAGCAAGCAGGTTAGTTAAGCTCTCAGATTCTGTCAATTATATTACGCAATTCAAAGAATAAATACCGTTTTGGCGCTTGTACATGTTACACTACAGATTCCTAGCGCACGTGAACCGATCGTCTCTACTAGCTTGAAAAAGAACACGAACACTGGTGAAAGATACAGTATGCTACAACTTACCAAAATGTATTCCTCATGCATAATGTCGACCAATCATTTTTTGAACTCTTCCCTGAACTGAAATGTAGTAATTGGCTGTATTTCCACACGACTGACATCAGGTTCAAGTACACACAAGCCGGCCGGCGCGAGCGCGACTCACTCGTCTATTGCAGTTTGGCTGGTGCTAACGTTGCCCGTCCGCATACCGCCTCCCATGGCCGGAACTGGTATTACGATACCTGCCGGGCCGGGGCTAGTAATTTAGCATGCTAATTCAGGTTAATATCTCGGCAGCACTATAACTTGTCAGTTTTTTAATGACATCTTTGCACTTATTTCTTCTCATTCTTTTGATGCGTGTAGCTCATTTTTCGTATATTGTTACCTCAATTATTACATATGCCACCTTTAAGGGCCAAACTGGATATTGAGTTTTTCAGCCAAGGGAAGGAAAACTTGTATTCTTCCAGCAAAGGGCAATTGAACGCCTGGCTTGTAAATCCACAAATCCACCCGTTTGTTTTTTTCTTTTCTTTGACGAGCACAGTGTAATTGTCCACATAGACCCCTGATGCACATATTACCGGGCTTAAAGAGATAGGAGTAGTAAACTGAGAGACATAGTGAGTTACTTTCCTCCAAAACTTTTGCACTGAAACAATGAAAAAATGTGCCTTGGAAATGATTGCATTTAAAAAATAAGTCAGGAATACTAGGGTTAAGTTTATTTAACCGGAGTGATAAGTTATTATCCAATTGTACTGTACGAGCCTCAAACGTGTATTTATAGTTTGAGTTTGTACTTTTTAACATATTGTATCCCACTCATCTAATGAAATGTCATTATTTAAATCCTGCATCCATGCTCGTCTTTTATTTTCAACATTTTATTTATGATTCTGTACCAGTATATTCTTGTGTAATTGGACAATTCGTTCTTTAGTGAAAAATGTTGCCAATGTGGATAATGCACAGAATTATTTAGCAAAACAAAAAAGAAAAAAACTTCTAAGCTGCAGGTAAAAAAATGTTTCCGGGGTATACGAAACTTTGATGCCAGATTGTCTAATGACATTAAAAAAAAGGTCTTCATAAGTCCATCAATCTAGCAATTCCCGCATTCAACCATAGTTTAAACCCCATATAATGTTTAGCTGGAGTGAAATAAGTTTTTTTTTTATCTGTGTTCCCAAAAAAGTAGTGAACCCATTAAAAAGAATCACACTCACCAGCCGAGCTACAGGCTTAATGCAATACAATAAACAGCCCATTCTCACCCCCAAGGCGTCACTTAAATGACGCCTTGGGAAGCATTTGGACATGCTTCAATATCTGACGCTTTAGGCGCCCTTTAGCGTCAGTTAGATGACGCCCTAGGATCGCGTGTACCCTACCCCCACCCCACACCTAAACCTAACCGCGTCCTTTAACTGATGCTTTCCTTTAGCGTCAGTTAAGGCCAATTTATACTTCTGCGTAGGGTGCGCACAGTAGGTACGGCGTAGCATACGCACAGACGCGTCCCATTGCGCGTACCCTTCGCCGTCGCCTGACGCGCACCTCCTCAAAAATGTAACTACACGTCGCGACGACGCGGACCGCAAGATCGGTGATTGGTCGGCTTGGTATCATCGCATTTCCTCCTACGCATTTCCGCACGTACCTTCTCACGCATTTCCACCACTGTCTATGATTTCCACACGTACCATCTCCTCCGACGTCTTCTCTCATTTCTGCCTTTCAGTTTTAGTAATTTCACTAAAGTGAACTGTTTTTCCACCTCAATAAGCTCCAACTCCAACATGATCAGCTCTCTTTCAATCGCTATTGCTTGTAGTAACCTAGCCGCGAGGAATCTAAACACATTAAAACTCTCCGCCGCCAACTAGCGTTTCGGAGCAGTACTGCAGAGCAACCAAGACCTGAACGCAGAAGTATAAATGCTCATAACGGCGTCGCCTACGTGCGTAGCCAACGCCGCACATTACGGCGTACCCTCGACGCAGAAGTATAAATTGGCCTTTAGATGACGCCGTAGGATCGCGTCATGTAAGTGACGCTAAAGGGCGTCTAAAACGTCAAATATTGAAGCATGGTCAAAGGTGACGCCTTGGGGTGAGAATGCGTTGCAATAAAACTACAAATTTATCATGTTTGTATAAACACAAAATTACAGTCCCTTCCAAATTTTTCTGAAATGTATTATTGACAGCACAAAAACATACAGTATTAACAACTCAGCCATTAACAAAGATGGCTAATATCAGTAACTTATTTAAAATGTCTTTGTTTTCTGCAGAGTAAACAAATAAAACAAACTAGCAAGATAAAATAACTTTTGCTCAATATTTGATTGATTCAACCTTTGCAATAGGTAATTTACATGAAAAAAGACCCTTTATATGTTTATAAACATGTTTATCCCGAACACCATAAATCAGAGGTGTAAGAAGTCTTGGTACAATGTTTGTCAAAAGATAATTAAAAAATACGATTTTTTTCTGCCTATCAGTAACAATTTGAAGATAAATTTTGTCCAACACAGGAGTAATGTAGGACAACATACAGAGCAGAAGCTGTACTCCATGTAACAGGATGGTGCTTTGGGCCTTTTTTGCTGAAGATTTATCAGTGGAGGCTCTTCTGGCCGTAATAAGCACTCGACAATATGTGAATACAAGAATTAACCACACAACGGATGTATAAAGCCCATTCATAAATTTGCTTAGTTCTCCATGATACGCAGTGTTATAAAGAGATGCTGAACTACAGAAAGTACTTGTTGTAAAGATAGATAAAGGACGAACAATTGAAAGAAGAATCAATTCAGCCAATCCAGGTAAAACTCCTGCACCCCAAATCAGAGAGATAAGGATAAATGTCCTGCGCACTGTGCAAATCTGATGATGATGCAGTGGTTTGCAGATTGCGATGTAACGCTCAACGGCCATACCGGCCAAAGTCAGAGGAGTGATCTTATGAGTTGTTGAGGCTATTATAAGCAGTGTAACACAGAACGGGAGAGGTACGTTTTGCCATGCAAAAGTCATCACAAATAGAATTACACTGAAAAAAACCATGAGCATGTCATTGATAACCAAGTGAATGTATAATATATATCTCGGATTATTGTAGAAAATTGAACTCCTAAAGAATATGAATACAAACAATCCATTTATGGAGATAATTATGACTGCAAGAAAAACAATGGTAAAATTTTTTGCAAAAGCATCTGCATATTTTTCTTGAAAACTATATAAAAGCATTGAAGAGTTCATTCCGCTTTTGCACTGGTGTCAGTTTAATATGACAGTCCTTTTTTTCTTGGAAAGTAAGATTTTTGACAGTTGTTGTTGTCCCTTTCTTTTCCTTAAAAATGTCTTTATGGCTGTCCAAAGAACATCAAGCTGTAATACAATATTTTTTATCTTGAGGATTTTTCCATTTATTTAATCTGATAAGAAAATTAAATGAAGAAAATATTAGCAGGTTAACAATTATATGAAGAATATATACATTCAAAATTAAAGACAGAAAGAGTGAACTTACCGCTTTCTCAGTAAATAGTTTTGGCTTCAGATGTAAACGGACAAGTTTATATGCTCACTTAAGATGTAAAAGTGGGAGGAAAAAAAAAAGAGCAGGAGAGAGAAGGGGGGAGGGTGGGGATGTGGGGGTGTTGATGATGATGGGGGTAAGGGAAAGAGCGTAGAGGAAGAGTATGTTTTTATTACAGTACATTGCTTTCATGGTGTAATAATGGGTCCATATGATTATAATACAGCATTTAGATTTTGACGTGGAAAAGAATTTGGGGTAAAGTAATAAAGTATGGTCTACACAACCTCTGCCCCTCAGAGGCCAAACCCACAGGTTCCAGATAATTCGGTAGTAAAGCGTAGAGTTATCCTCAGCCATATCATACCATAACGTCCAGCCCCAAGAGAGCTGGGTTTGTCATATCCTTAGATGCGGACAGATCCCCTTACGCTTGGCCAAACAAACTCCCATATAACCTTCACCACCTCCATTCCCCGGGCAAGTTTTGGTACCCTAGAATCTATACTGTTTTCCTTGGGACCACAGGAAGATCTACCAATTTGCATAGTGGGCACGGACACATAACCATTAATGATTTATATATGAGACCACTGATGTGTTGTCTGTGCGAACAAACACATGTTGGCCTCTCAGGTCTAGGAGGAAATGCTTCACTGCTATGATGACAGCCATTATTTCCAGGCAATTTATGTGGCATTAGAGATTATGACTTATGGCATTAGAGATTATGATTATGACTGAGATTATGAAGGGAATCATCTGTCGTTAGCATGAAGCGATGACAATGGGCTTCTAACATGGGACCTTGGGACAAGAACCAAGTCTTCTTCCATATCATCAAGGTGCAAAGACATGTGGAGTGGGCTCCCCTCTGGGAAAACCCCCTTGGTCTTGAGCCACCACTACAAGGCTCACTTGTACAGCAGGCCAAAAGTTATCACTTTGGACACAGCTGCCATCAGCCCCAACAATGTCAGAAACTGTTTGACAGTGAGTGACTGACCTAGCTTTATCTTGTTTACGGCAGTGAAACTCAAATCAATACGAGCAGGAGACAGACATGCCTGCGTCGTCGTTGAGTCCCACACCACACCTAGAAAAGTAGTTCTCTGTGCTGGAGAAAGCGCACTCTTCTTGGCATTCAGCCTTCACCCAAACTTTTTCGTAATGGCGAGGATGACATCTCGATGCCGAACCTCCATCCGTTAGCCAATCATCGACATAGCCTCTCAAGACTGGCCTTGTAGTCAGCTGAAGTAAACTGGCAGGGAACAACCCAGATGATTCATCTATTTCCCTCCTCAGAGGATGCGAGAGTCCTGACGACGTAATGTCAAGGGACTGACTCAGATGCATTGACACAATGTCTTGTGCCTGGAAACCGCTGCGCCCTGAAACACCAAAGGCAATGTCCACTTTGGTGGTCTAGGAACCTTTGGCTGAACCTAACGGGGATGCGAGACACCTATCCGCCTCCACCTTGAAGGTGGATGTGGCTGCAATAGCAGCCAATCACAACAAGTTGATGGCAGGTCAGTGGGAAAGCACAACCTAAGTATTAGGTTCCTATAATGCCTAGTTCACACTACATGATTTTAAAATGTCGGGCTGAACTGTGCAGTTCACACTACATGACTTGCTCTCAGTGAAATCATGAGTGTTCAAGTTGTTTAGCTGTTCACACCACACAACACAACGTGATTGATCCACAACAGGAGGTAACTCACTACACGAGTTAACAACGCACTAGAGATACAACCACGATCGGATGATAAGAGCATATCATTTGTGACTCAATGAGAGCTGTTTAAAGTACTATGGTACGGTCTAAATCATGAAAATACTCAAATAAATAACGAGTTGACAACAACACGATTCTATCTGGTCTAGAAACCATGTTTTGTAACGAAAAACCACGCAATAAAACGAACCAGAAATGACGCGAAACTGCAGAGAAGAACACAACACGCGAATATGGACGTCAGACAGAAACTAGTGCTGCACACTGTTTGCTCGACGATATGCTCTGAGAAAAAAAAATGCAAAAAAGAAAAAGTAAGATTTACCTGGTGTCCTCAACCCATGCGTTGCTATGATTGGCTGTACTCATGACATCACTGAGATTGAGTCGCGCGACTGCTCTGGATATCTAGCATGCTAGATATTTTTCTGAGCTCGGTGACCTGTCTGCGAGGTGTCTGCGAGCTGTCTTTGATGCGTTGTTGGCTCTTTCACACTAACGGATTGGCGAGCGTTAATCGTCCGCTAATCGCCCGCGATTTGCACGCGATAACACCCTGACTTGTCGGCGACTCAACGATTTGCAAATCGGGCTTAAATCGGGCTTAAAATCACGTAGTGTGAACTAGGCTTAAGGCGCTCTGAGGTTAAATCCTCCAAGGCCACACCTTGTCCCCTCTTGGGATCTCTTAGTGGTCTAACTGGCTTTACAGAAAGATCAATTTGACCCCTTACAGTCAGTCAAGTTTAGTGCCCTCTCTATGAAGACGACCCTCCTGACTGCGCTCACTTCGCTTAAGAGGGTGGGGGACCTTCAAGCCCTCTCTGTTTATGATACAAGCCTTGAGTTCAGACCGGTAGATTGTCATAATGGTCCTGTGACCCCAGCGCGGCAATGTGCCTAAGGTTCACACTACCCCTTTCAGGGATCAAGTGATAACCTGGCAAGAATTCCCTCCTGATAAGGGAGAACCAACCCTATCTCTGTTGTCCTGCGGGCATTTTGCGTATTTATCTGGATAGCTTTAGAAGACCAGATCTGCTTTGGAGAACAGCAGAAGGTAAAAGCTGCTCTAAACAAAGAATAAGCCGCTGGATTGTGGGTGAATTTCTCCTCGCTTCTCAAGACTGATCATTTCCCCTAGCAAAGAGGGCTCATTCCACCAGGGGTGTCGCTGCTTTTTTGGCTTTAGCGAACGTTGCCTCACTAGTAGACATTTTTAAAGCTGCGGTCTGGGCTACTCCCAACACTTTTGCAATATTTAATAATCGACGCATGGAACCAGTTCCGTCCAGTGTTCTGGGAACTCAGACGACTGGTAGGGTGTGGTTCTTACATCAGCGCCTTTATTCCCTTCGCTAAGGTGATATCGTGCATGTTTAGGTTCAAGTTAAAGGTTCCTATAATGTTGAACCTTGGACCAACCTTGCATCATTTAAGCACATTTTGGTAGATGAGTTCTGAGGAGGAGCTACTCAAAAGACCCATTACCTGTGGTATGCCCCTTTCAGGTGAGCCCTTGTATTTGGGTTAGTGCTCTATATGTAGTGACTCCCTAACGGTGGTCCCATATGTGTATTCTCCACTGTTTGGTTCCTTGGCTTGAACCCTGTGTCTTACCTTGGACAGAGCTTCGTTCCGTCACCAGTCACTGTGGTGGATCACTCCACAGAGACTTTTTTATGTTGTACTACCTCTGATAAATCTATAGGATGTATTCTTCACATATGAAAACTTTGGAATTATGTACAGTCCTCAGTTGTACATAAATATTCAGCAGAAATGGCAGCTGAAGTGACCTTCATTGTATGATAAGTCTGTCTTGAAGGAAGACTGGAGGTCACGCCCCAAGGTTACAAGTGGGTTGTGTGCATTTTGTCAATTTGTGACAGAAAAGCATGGCAGTATTCTTTATTTTATTTCCATTCATTCACTTGACATCCACTTTCATTTAACCCTTGTGTGGAGTTCATATTTTTTTTATTCAGCCAGTGTTCGTGGGACAGGTGGGCCCACTGCATTAAAATGTTTTTCAGCATTTTTATTTATGTTGTAAATTACAGAGAAGATAATTAGCCTGTATTGACTTGCAAATGAAAACATAATTGCTGACGTTCTCTAATGAGATCATACGATCAATTATGGATTAACTATTTTTATGAATCCCAAAAAATTGCTATACAGTAAAATAAGAAATAAAACCACACTGAGATGTAATTTCACAATTGTGATATATTCCATAAAACATAAGTCTGTATTTAAATTCAATGCATGTGTTTATTTGTAAAACGTTCTACCGTTTCATAAGTGCATGATTCTTAATATTCCCTGACATCTTTTCTCTAAATTCCACTTGGCCAAGAAGTTATAATTACAAAATCACAATAAGAAAATAACTAAGAAAAAGCACATATTAAAAATATATTTTGCATAGGGAAGATAACAAAATAATTACTAATTATGCTTATATGATGATACATTTTTCACTCACTGCTTAGTTGATTCAACTTTCACATTAATTAACCTACATGAAAAAAGTCCTTTCATGTATTTAACAAATTGTTTATCTCGAACACCATAAATGAGGGGGCTAAGCAGTCTTGGTAATAAGTTTGTAAGAAGATAATTGAAAAAGAGGATTTTTGACCGTAGAGTAGGTACAAGTTGGCTATAAATCTTGTCTATGGTAGGAGTAATGATGGACAACATACAGAGCAGAAGCTGTACTCCATGTAACAGGATGGTGCTTTGGGCCTTTTTTGCTGATGATTTATCAGTGGAGGCTCTTCTGGCCGCAATAAGCACTCGACAGTATGTGAATACAAGAATTAACCACACAACAGATGTATAAAGCCCATGTGTAATTTTGCTTTGGTCTTCATGGTATGGTGTGCTATACACATTAGTTGTACTACAGAGAGTACTTGTTGTAAAAACAGATAGAGGACGAACAATTGAAAGAAGAATCAAGTCAGCCAATCCAGGTAAAACTCCTACACCCCAAATCAGAGAGATAAGGATGAATGTCCTGCGCACTGTGCAAATCTGATGATGATGCAGTGGTTTGCAGATTGCGATGTAACGCTCAACGGCCATACCGGCCAAAGTCAGAGGAGTGTTCTTATGAGTTGTTGAGGCTATTATAAGTAGTGTAACACAGAACGGGAGAGGAACCTTTGGCCATACATAAGCCATCACAACAAGACTTACACTGAAAAAAACCAAGAGCATATCATTGATGACCATGTGAATATATAATATATATCTTGGATCATTGTAGAAAATTGAACTCTTGAAGAATGTGAAAACAATTATTCCATTGATGGAGTTGACTATGAGCCCGACAAGAACAATGGTGAAATTTTTTGCAAAAGCATCTGCATATCTGTCTTCTATGGTGTACTGAAACATTGTAGAATTCATTATTCTTTTGCGCTGGCATAAACGTCTGTGACTCTTTTGTGTGAAAATAATTTTTCTTGGCTTTCTGGTTGTTTTTGTGTTTCCTCCAAATGATGTCCGCAACTTTCTGTCCATTAAGCAGTAGAATGAATATTTTCCATCTGTGTCATCTGATCTGAAAATAAAATAGCTACTCTTTTAACAGAATATTTAAGAGTGAGAAGCTATTAGCAACACATGAACAGAACATATTATATAGATTAAAATATGTGTTCAACAAAGAGTGCTTACCTTCCCACCTTGCATGGTCGACTGATTTGCTTCGAGATGACAAGTTTAAATACTTTAGATGAGGAAGAGGAGACAGTGAAGGAGTGAGAAAGGGAGTGGGGAGGGTAAGGGAGAGGGAGAGGGAGAAAGAGCGAGCACTCTGGTAATATTGAGACAGGAATACAGTGAAATTATGGTGAAAAGTATGTTTTTTTAAATAATCTCAAATATTTAACTTACGATTTAATTGAGAGTAGTGGCTTTTGAGTCGAAGTTGTTCAGAACAAGGAAATTCTAACATATGATATAAATTGTGTGTGTGTATATGTGAAACACCATGATATATGAGGCTTAAAACCCTATAGCGCCACCTGCTGGCCAATTTCCTTCAAATTTTGCACAGACTAAATTTTGTCCATGAGTCAAACAGGCCCACCAAGTTTCATTACGATTGACTTTCGTTGTCTAATATGTGCTCAAACTTCATTGGCTGACGGCGGCAATATTTTTCGAGATTCATGTATGTCCTCAGACAATCACGCCACTTTGGACAGAAACTGCACCTTGCACCTGACCTGACTGTTGCTTACTATAACCGTTTTCGTGGTTGTATGTTCATTTTACAGGGCCACCAAGTGGCCAGACCCGGTATCATTTTCCATGCGACCACAGACTGTGCCTTTAATGGTGTAAGTTTTGTGAAATTAGCTCATTCTGTTCAAGCGTGATTAGCATCCAATCGTGGATGAGAATACTTTTTTTTGTTTTTTTGTTGATAGTTATTAACAACCAGACTCCAGAGAATCTTTCTGCGCTGGTTTGGTCTGAACCTTGATAGTCGGTAAACCTACAACCAATCAGAGCAACGCAGTAGCTACTTTGCATACAGTTGTCAACTACAGAACGTAGCCTTACTTTACTTATTTTAGAAGTTAAATAACGAGTGTTGCTTCTTTTACTTACTCCTCCATGAGTGCGACCAAAGGAGAAACCACAACGACCACAGGCTTACGTCATCTTCTTAGCGACCGTCAGATCCAGCTGATAAGTTACACTTTTGCCGAATCATGTGGGAAGACGGCAAAAATATCTTTCCAATCGACAAATACCCTGATTGCAGTTTTCTGTTTGTCAATTAAAATGAATGTGCTGTCGATTTATTTCACAACAGACGCGACAGCGGAATCAATACATCTCAATTCTCCAGCTGCAGTCAACTTTGAGTGAAACCAGTTAAGCACTCTTTGATTACTACGTGTTGATTACGTCCTTGCAGATCACCTGTCAATCATCGTATAAAGCCCGCCATGGCAATTTGATTGGCCCAAACGTCTTTTGCCTGATCATAATTACAACGTTCAAATTTCATGACAATGAATGCATAAACAGACCTTTCCTATTGCTGGCCCTTGACCTCAAAGCAATGTATACTAATGATAACGCAATCGCTGTGCTCTCAGGCGCAAACTGCACAACGGGGGATTTGGGCTGAATTAATGAGCTTCTTTAAGATGATGTGAGATTAATCAAGATGCATGCCCTGTCTATGTTTGTGTGTGTGTGTGTGTGTGTGTGTGTGTGTGTGTGTGTGTGTGTGTGTGTGTGTGTGTGTGTGTTCATGTAGTTGGTTTAGTAATGTGCATGTGATTTTTAATTACGAGTTAGCTCACTGAGGATTTTGTACTCTATTGTAAATCGCTTTGGATGCATGCATAAATCTAAATGTAATGTGAGTAACCTCATATTACTTGAGAAACGACATGGAATATTGTACTTTTAAAATGAATTTGTTACAATGCCGGAATATTTAAGTAAATGGTAAAAAAAAACTTACATGAAGACTTTTAGACATGAAGACAATGCCAACACTTGATCTTGCCAAATAAGACATGTTCCTGGATTAACATATTTTATTGATCCTGGAACAACATTCCTGTATGAAAATCCCAACCCTATCCATAATCCCTACCCATAAATGCTCCTTAAAACCAGATGGAAATGATAAGCGAATAACACTGATGTATGGTTGTGAACCTAAACTTGACATACACTGTAAACTTGTCCCTCAAATCGGATTGGTTGATTGGAATGTTGTTTCAGAATCAACAATAATGTTTTACTTGGTGAAATCTTGTTCACCTATACAATTACCCATACAAGTACAATTTACAAATGCATTGGCCTGTACATATTGCATTAAAATCGAGAATTTATGGACATGGTGTTAACCGTGAATTGTTTTTTCTTATATATTCAAATCTTCAAATCCAATATTGATGGTGCCAAAACTTTGTCCAACAGTTAGACAATGTACAGGGAACATGTTTAACAGTTTTTCTTTTCAAACTGTTCTTTTTCGTTACTTCAGTGCATGATTATATGTATTTGTTCCACTGAAAAATAACGTCCTTTCAATAATATCAGCCCTTTCTTCTAATGTCCTGTTGTCTCCTACACATGAACTCCATCCAGAAATTATTCATGGGGAATATCATCCAAGCTTTTGAGAGAAATGGCTGACTGGGTTTACTCTCTGTGCTTTAGAGATAAAGAATCTGAGCCAATACTTGCGAAACTTCTCATCCCTGAATCCATATATCATTGGACTGAGAAATCGTGGAATGATGTAGACCAGAAGAAAATTAACATACCGTATCTCTAGGCTATACATGGGAAACAGTTGTATGAGCTGAGCCTGCATGGACGGCACGACGAACGCCAACATGCACAATAGCAGCTGAACCCCATGGAGCAGGACTGTGTTACGGGCCTTCTTGGCCAACACCTGGTCAGTGGAGACCGCACGGGCCGTCAGCACGATCTTACAGTACGTATAAAGTAAAGACAAGAAGACAAAAGAGAAATACACACTATCAAACGCGCAGTTCTTGTAATAGATCGAGCGGTCTCGGAACAGGAGCGATTGGTCGCAGAAAATGGACGTTTGGAAGAACAGTGCTGGTTCTTTGGCGACAGTGATGAGAAGATCGGTGAGCGGAGGAGTGAAGCTCAGGATGAAGATCCCCCCGATGATCCACGCGGTGCGTGTGACTGTGCAGATGTGGCTGTAGTGGAGCGGGAAGCAGATGGAGATGTAGCGCTCCAGGGCCATGCCGGCCAGGATGAGCGGTGTGAAGCGGGTGGTCGTCACTGCGGTCATGATCAGCGGGCAGCAGGCAGACGCCAAGATCTTTGAGAAGGCATAACTCACCTACAACAGGAGGAAAGACCCACAAAAAACATACATATTAGACAATGACATGTTTCTTTATACACTCATTATGTTTTAGCATTTTAGTTTTCATCCATTGAACTTCTACTCTGAGTTTCAACTTGATTTTCTTCATGAGTAAGTAAACTTAAACCAAAAAAAGTAAAATGAACATTGTATAGTTTTCTAAAAACAGACAATATCAAAACAAAATAATTATTTCACAAGTTGGACAGGGTATTAATTTTATAGAATTTTATGGCTTTTTTAAAAACACTTACACTAGTGTTCAAAAGTTTGGGGTAATTTTTTTGGGGGAAAAGAATTAATAATTAATAATTTTATTCTGCAACAATGCATTAAATTGATATTTAAAAAAAGTGTCAGTAAAGACATTTATAATGTTACAAAAATGCTGTTCTTTTGAACTTTCTATTCATCAAAGAATCCTGGAAAAAAGGCTTCATGGTTTATACACTCTAAAAAATGCTGGGTTGTTTGAACCCAAATTTGGGTAAAATATGGACAAACCCAAATGTTGGGTTAAAAATGTAATTTCAAATTTGAATTTTTAAATTACATTTTTATCCCAACAATTGGGTTTGTCCATATTTTACCCAAATTTGGGTTCAAACAACCCAGCATTTTTTAGAGTGTAATAATACATATTTCTTGATCAGCAAATCAGCATATTAGAATGATTTCTGAAGAATCATGTGAGACTGAAGACTGAAATAATGATGTTGAAAATTAAGCTTTGCATCATTGGAATACAATACATTTTACAATATATTCATAATATTCACAATATTTTTGACCATAAAATTCAGGCTTGGTGAATACAAGAGACTCATTTGAATGGCAGCATATTTTAAACAGGCTAAACAAAATACAAGCTTTGATATTTTGCTTCCAATGCAATGACATTCAGGCATTTATAAGTGTAGCTTAAGTGTTTTTTAACCCATTTTTGGCCACATAATCATACTTACCACATACAAGGCGGTTACCAATGTCAGTTGTACTGCATCATTAATGACCATGCAGATAAACATGATATAACGTGGATCTTCATAGAAGAAACTGTGCTTGCGGAAAGTGGACACCATACTGCAATTAAGGCCACTGAGCGCCAGCCACACAAGCATGGCCATGATGTTTTTAGTGAGAGCAGCGCTGAAGCTGTCTCGCGGTATGGCATTCAGAAGGAGTAAAGTAGAGTTACCAAACTCTGAGACGGTGCTGGAGTTCATGTTCTCAACCTGACATGATAAAGCACACATTATAGACACAGTATGTGCAACTACACTCAATATAATAGGCTATACATTCGGCATCTTTTAATCAGTATGTAAAGCTATAGGAAAAGCCATATTAAAAGACATGTATGATAACAAAAAAACACATTTCTATTGCTAGAGCTACTGCACAATTAAATAAGAACACATAATTAGACATGTTTTTGATTTCTTGGAAGAATGAATGAGTCTTGTGGCAAAATATATCCCAGTGTAATGGGTATTATCCAAATTGGTTCATTTTAAGAATGTTAACTAGAGTAAAGCGATGTTGGTTAGTCAAGTCCCCTCTCACCTAAAATGCCTCCTGCCCTTCCCTGACAGTCCCAGTCTGTGTTGAATCTTATATACTGTATACGTATGGATGTGATATAGATGAAGGTGGTTGATTGGAGAATGCCCTGAAAACTCTTCAGGGGATTTACATTTTACTCAATAGCACTGGTTTGTTTTCCCATGCAGGAGTAAAAGGAAACAGAGGTGAAAACCAACACATGTTAAATTAGCTTTTAAATATGATTTTGAATTTTTTATTTATAAAG